CACGTGTGCAAATAAAGGTCTTGGTTGTGGATTCAATGTGACGCTCTACCGAACCAGGCGGGAATAGAGAGGCGGATGGTGCCGTAGCGGCTCCGTAGCGGGGATCAGGAATTCTCCCTTTCCCCAGAAGGGACCATCACGGCGTTGATCCTCTTGAATGGAGTGGGCTCTCCTCTCCTTGCTAGCGTAGATTGTACAAAATGTCCGAGCAATTACATTACTAGCAGCAGAGTGGTAGTACTGTCGCTGCGTATGTGAATGTCAATGTCAATGTGAAAGAGAGACGAGGGAAAACGACTTGAGCAACGGCTGAACGGGCATCGAGAGAGCACCGAGGGGCGTCTCTGGCTCACCAGTGGCCGGTCGGCAGCAGCCCCCTTCTTCTCCTTTTCGTCGCATTGCATCTTCGGCCCACCCATCCCATTGAGAAAAGAGTCAAGTCCAGGGCCATTGGAACCAAGTGTGCGGAGAACAGGCGAGGTGGAGAGGACCAGCGGGCTGACCCAACAAGTCTAAGCAGCCACGGCTTGGACGAGGAGGTTTGTGATTCGCGTCGTGTACAGTACAGTCCGGCACAAAAAGGAGGGACTCTGGCCGCATCTAAGCGATCTCGATTACTGGATTGGCGCCAGGAGAGATCTCCCAGGTCCTTGTGGGCCTCCTTTAGACGCATCCCTTGCCTCCATCTAGATCGTCCCCATTGGGCGATGAGCTGCGGACCCGATGCTCATGGGTGCGGGTGCCTATCGGAACATTGAACTTGAGAATGTATGTAGGCGCGAGCATCGTGTGGTAGCACTTGGGCCTTGTCCTTGTCCCTGTCTTCCGAGAGATCGTTGCTCTCATCTGCCGCCCTGTTGGCTCGGCGTCTCTTCTTCGTTCTTCTCTTGTCCTTCTCTCATTCATACCCTTTGTTGTCTCTTTTGCAATAATCCGGCCACGTACGTGTGCCAGGCGGCGGCAGAGACCGGCATCTACAAAGAGCACAGACGGACAGGATATGGGCGGCGGCAATATGTTGTTACTTACCCCGAGACACGATGCACCGTGTCTCAGGCACTGCTCATGCTACCTCACCGAGACAGCCACAAAATGCAGCAAGGTAAATCAAGGCACCGGTAGGACGGAAGAAGACGCACCTGCTTGGGTCTGGCTCCGTGTTTCGCGTGCTTCAACCTGTATGCCGTAGCCCTGCCATAGGTATCAGTCAGGAAAAGCTTACCTGCAACTGGGCAGCTGGGTTGCGACTTTGTGGTACCACTCACGAAAGCGCCACTCCATATCGTCTCAAGTCTGGCAAGGGTGTTACTGGTAGGGAGAGAGAGTCGAGGCAGCCAAGTGGGAATCATTGTGGACAGCCACATGATCAAGACTGCTAAGTGGTTTTTTCTTTTCCTTTTTCTCTGCCAGGTTCCCTTTTCTTTCTCACGGCACGGGCTCCGTTCGGGTGTCTCGCTGACTTGAACATTGAACCCAAGCGGTGTGTTCTCTCCCCAGACCGCAGCCTTCGCAAAATGAAATGCCATGCCTAGACACTGCGAGCTTGGAGAGAGTTGATAAAATGTCTTCGTGAAAGCCCCGGCCGGTAGCAGGCAACACAAAAGTTCCCACATCGTCATGCCCTACATTCCCCGTCAAGACCTCGGACGGAACAATTTGGCAAAGGACAACTGCCATAGGCCCCCTCCCCCCTTTCTCCTTTTGCCACCTGCTGTACAACTCAACAGCCACGTACAGCCACGAGATGACAGCAACAATGCGCCGTGTTGCGCGTATCTTGGCCGAGGCATTCTGAACTCGGGAGTTGGATGCTAAACTGGCAGATGCGGTGGTGATACAGCCGCCCTGAGCGCCAGCTCGCCCGCTCTTCGTACAACCTCGACTAGGTGCGGAATATCCATCTCCAAAAGATGTTTGCGACTAATTTGCGCATAAGGATCCATTTTCGGCATTACATAGCAGAAAGCGAGATAATGGCTGCCATATCGGTTCTCCATGAGCTCATAGGAGCCTACGCCACCGACTTGGGAATGCAGGCTCCATCTCATACATGCAGCTATTAGCGCAAGACATGTAATCGACGAACAAGATTGCTTCCTTTGGTGTCCGTCGGAGCGTCTGATCAGTGCCAGACCGCTATTAAGCAGCGGGAAAGGAGAGACCCCGGGCGGCTATATGAACGCCGTCGCTGATCGGCCGAGACATTTAGGACAGTCGAGGGAAATTGAAGGCTAGGAAAACTAATTGGAGAAGAGTGCTTGGATCGGAAGCCTCTCTGTCTCTGGTAGAGCAAAAGGCAAGATTGAGCCAGAGACAAGACAGCATGAAAGTGGAAACCAGGGGGTGCGTGTGGCTAGCTGGACCAGAACATGCCTCTCCGCTCCTCAAGTCGAGATCCAGAGACCCGGCAGATGGGATGTCGTACGAAGTCCTGCACCAAGCCGCCAACTTGTTGGTTTGATGCTTTTGCTCGGCTGAACAGAAACCTTAATACAGCATCTGGTAGTACTGGGTGCCTTCGAGGATTGGTTTTCCTCTTCTGTTAGCTGTAAAGCGCCATGTCATAACCGTCCGCCGCACACCCCATTTGCTAGATGCCAGATCAATAGCACCTAGGTACGATGAGGATAGAGCCTAAATGTGATATCTGACAACAGCTGTCCCTTAGGGACATTAGTTTTTTTTTTCAAGGTCTCATATCGCTCCATCAAGCCATGTCTCGCTTGAGAGGCGTGGAAATTCTCTTCCCTTCAGCAGTACTTGACGCTCTTATTACATCATTTCAATATGTACAGGATGAGAGATTCAAGGCGAAACAGTTTAATACTTGGGGAGAGATCTGGAGCCTATTACATTTGTCCGTTGACTGATGCCAGCCTACTGCTTTCTCATCAACATCGGCATACTGACCTGTTCTTCTCCCCAGACCATCGCCCAATAGTATTCTTGATGCCACTCGCTTAAGGCCCTGAGATGGGGCATCTAGATGCGGGCTACATTGCGTGCTGCCGGGATGCCTCCATACTGGGACTGGACTGAACTAGGTAGAAACTTGAAGCTGCAAACACAATCGGCGATAAGACCGCCACTGGAAGAGGCACTGAATGTGCTAGTGGGTGTCATTGATGCATTGGAGCTGCTGGGATCATTTGGCCATGGGCGGATGAAACATGGACGAACGGGCGGCTTTACACCAGGACGACGAGGCGCGCTCAAGTCGCTACCATGCCCTTGTCTAGTCCAAAGAGGCGCCGAACACTCTGACCCTTCATGTTACCAGGACTTGTGCCCTACGTCGAGGCCAGCGCATGTGCAGCATGTATGAAGTACCTACATATACGCGGGTGTGCCTGAACCTGTGCCTGCGCGTCCATGTATATGCAAGTACAGCAGAGCAACAGCAGGGCTACAGGATCCCGGGCGAGTTGAGTCTGCAGATGCTCTGCAGTAGTATAGCATTCGGTCAGTGCTAGCACGAGGCAATAATGCCCGCGTTCTGGTGCCTGAACATGATGTACTCAATTACACTGGCCGCATGGCCACTGGACGGTCAAGTTTCAAGGTTCTTCCGTGTCTTCCAGCCAAGCCAGCAAGAGGTGTGCGGAGAGTGTCATCCAGCCGAATCTGCCCCCGCGCTTTTTGAAAAAAAAAAAAAAAAAAAAAAGTCCATATCAGGTATCTTTACAACCAAAGCCCAGCCTCTTCTCTGCCGTGTCGTGTACTCGCACCGCATACAACCTACCATGTAGTAGTAGCATCTCGTGCCTCGGGCTTGGGCAGCCGCCCAGCTGGGCATGGACAAAGTCGCTGAGAAAAGGCCGACCGGGGTTTGAGGGAGGTGTGGACCAGGGCTTGAGCAAGCTAGTGGAAGCAGAGAGGGAATCCTTCTCTTGCGGAACACACCCACGGCGGGGGAGGCGTGTGTCTACCGATTTGGCTGGGGTGTGTGAGAGAGAGAGAGAGAGCTTGAGCTTGGATGATGAGTGAACCCCCAAGACACCCCTGGCTTGTCAAGGTACGGATGGCGTCTCTGATACCTCGCGGATGTGTGACTATGGTCAGGTAAGGAGGCAGTACAAAGCCTCGGCCTCGTACTTGTACATGAGAAATACTTGCGCTTTCAGGCAGCTCAGGAAAGGCTCAGGTAAAGCTCAGGTACTGCGCGGGAGCATCGTTTCTCTGACCCTGGACCCTGTCTAGAGTAGTGTGATGCTGCTAGTGCTCTCTCTTGCTTTTTTACATCGTATTCAGTACATAGACGTGTATATAGTATAAGAGGCATCGCATCTCCATGATTTGCCTCGATGTCTGTATATATATCAAGCCACTGCCGTTGTCCTGTTGAGGGATTCGAATTCCTCTTCCGGCTCTATCAAGATCGAGTCATCACATCCCATATAATATCATATATCGCCTTGTTTTGTACATCCCATCTTATACATACGTCCTCTGGCATCTTCTCAGAGAGGACTTCATATACGACATGTCCTTTACAGCAGGAATTTGGGACTATCCTTCGCCCTCTTCCATCACTCCTCCAATGACGGCATGTGCTTCCTCTGCCTCAGTAGCTTCACCTTCATCTTCACCGCGAGACTCAACTTTCCAAGTTCAGTCGCAGCCAGTGTCTCTGGAATCACCGCCCAGGTTTTCTATTTCGACTCCTCCGGGGACTATTGATCCTGCAGATATTTCAACAACTCCTGCTCGCTCAAACAAGAAGAAGAAGGATTTGATGCCTGTTCACCACGTCCCCTACCGAGAAGAAGACGACTGGACAAAAGTCTCAGATCCCAAGGAAAAGAAAAGGATACAGAACCGAGTTGCCCAAAGAACATACCGTATGACCACCCGTGTCTTACTTATCATCATCTACCCTTCACTTTCACCTTTACTGCTATTTCCCGTGGGCTATACTACATATCTTCATACAACATTACAGTTGTGAAGGGGGCGTCGCATTGCTAACCAGAAGGACATCATGATATACAGGTCACCGTATGAAGGCACGCCTTGGCGAGCTCCAAGCCCGACTAGATAGTCACGAACGCAACCAGGCTCAGCAGACAGGAAACTCGGAGAACATCGATTCATCTTCGACAAGCGGATCCGTTCGGGGCTTTACAGCCATCAACAATCAGGTTTCCGGCGTCGAATCATCCCCACCTCCTATGCCCCAAGATAAGTCCCCCATTAGCCAGCCCCAGGCGCAGCCAGACATGTATGAACGGCCTGGCAATGAAGCCGAGCTTGTATTCCAGCATTTGCCTCGAAACACTCTCAACAGCCCAGCGCAGACGCAACCATCCCCCGAAACCAATGTCCTGCTCTCTCCTCTGGCTCATCCAGTCCCAGAACGAGTTTCCAAAGTACCCCACGACTTCGTGCTAGACTGTTTGCGTTTCCAAACGCAACTATTAAACCGCCTTAACAGTCTGCAGCAAGAGGCCCATTTCACCCCTTCTTACACCCCGAGCAATGCTGCGCCGCCACAGCGTGAGTCCTAATCTAGATCTACTACACTACCATTGCCAGGAGAGAAACTACATGGACTAACTGGAATATAGCTCTAGAGAACTTGGCCCAACCTGAGCATACCCAGTGCTCAAATTCCTTTTCCCCTACTAATGTGGAACCCATGGAGTTCTCCTACGAGTCCAGCGGCGACATGTGGAAGACAGATGCCTTGCCCAAGTCTCGCCCTCCGCCCGCATCTGATGAACCCATTACCTTCCCACCACTTCCTGCTGCCGCTACACCCAGCGCAGTCCTAAACAGTCCCGTTCCTGAGGGCCCCAATCAAAACCTCCGGCCTACGCCTCAGCCTGTTACCCAAGCTGCTTTAGGAGAGCGCATCGGAAGCATCATGGAGGCCGTCCAGGCAGCTGGATTTGATAGCTTTGATGCTCTCGTCTCTGCGTACTACTGCGATACGTTTGGAGAGGCTTCTCCTCTGGCTAATGAACAACGTCTGAGTCGCAATAGGCGACTGCCAAAGGTGATTGCCGATGTGTTCCAAGCAACCACAGGATGGAGCGCGTGGGAGCGCCGTGGGTTTCAGGAAGAGATACTCAAAACCGCCGAATCCATGCTGATATCAGAGGGAGCCGGTGCTCGGTCTTCTGTAATGTCCAAAATTGAGCCTTTACTGGACTCACACGACCCAGCTAACCCGGACACCACCGCGGACGCTCTAACCAATCTTAAACGATCTATTCAAGATGAGGTGAGCAAACCCGTGGTTGAATCGTCGTGGATCTCGGAATAAGCTGCTGACTAGGCCAAGCTGCCCAATTCATGGGCTCTAACAATGGCTCTGGCCTCTGGCACCCGCAATTCCTTTCAAAAAGACCGTTCAAATGCGGCACTGGCAACAACTCTCCTCGTCAATTTCTCAGGTCGAATGCCCAAAGATCAGCTGCTGCAGATTCTGAGCGCATGTCTTTGAAAATGGATGCATGGCTGGTCTGACCGGTTAAAGACACATCCGGGTGGTTGCTTTTCAGCATGCACGTCTTATATTTGGCCTGAACGCTGTCGCAATGAAATTGGTACGTTGCCTATACAGTACAATTCGCAGCAGCCCATATTCCTTTGGAATTCCGGCTGACAGGCACAACGCAGTCGTTGCATTTGAGATCAGACTACTATCGCGGCTACGTGCTAGCCCGTGTTCGAGGCAACTCGGCGAGTATGAGATATAGTATTCGGTGACGATCTACAATGAGTCTTATATTATAAGATCAATTTGGCTTTGGTTATGTCAAGCCTTTATTCACCGGAATTTGTTTTCTGATTTCCCTTTTTTTCTCAAGTTACATTGAGTTTTCTCACTCCCTTGAATCTCCATCCTTATACCTTCACTACATCAAGAGAAAATGATTCTCTACGAATCAAATTACGTATACGAGGTATACACGTTCAAAGCCACTTTAGTGGCACTACACCTCAGAAATATGGGTTTCTTTTCATGATACATCAACTGACCATCAGTGAGATTCTGGGCACATCTGGATGGACGGCCGCAGACTAGCTCTGTAATGGGGACATTAGGCGAGAAACAGATCAAAAATATTACAACGTGGGGCGTTGTGGGAGTTTATGGATATCAGCCAGAGTGGGCTACCAAAAATAATTTGGGAATCACAGACCGTTAGCGGGAGTTTAATTGATTTATTTATTAATCTGCTGTTCTTTGCCTCATAGTATTAGGAACCCTTTTGCAGAATCCTTCTCCATGGCTAGCATCTTCCTGATATGAATGCGTTGGACATCCATATAGGAATGCCGGCCCCAAGGAAATAAGTCATGTTGGAATACCCAGCAAGTAAAGAACCGTTATCCTCATTCTCCTAAACTAAGTTGCTTTGGGGACCATCGGCATACTGAACGAAGCAATATCAGATGGAAAGGTTTCGGGCAAAGACTGGCACCGCTAACCTGCGTTCCGTTACCGATGTCATCCAACCAACAGTCATGACTCTCGGCTGAAGGTGGGTTTCATTGCCATAAGGGGTCTTTTTGTCCCTGTATATGTCGTAAGCAAAGTACTGAATATGCGTGCCGAGACCCTTATTGTGGAAGGGGGTTTCTGAGAAACCGTGTCTTTGTGATGACGAAACATAATAAGCCGAGACTCTCTAGCTATTTGGAGAGCATGTGTAGCGCTTGGTATGTATTAAAGATACTAAAGGGAGGGCTAGGGACTTATTTTGATAGGTCCAGGGAACGAGTGTGGTGATTTGTGCGGCAGCTGTATACGAAGAGTTCACTCAGGGTAGTACCAATGGTGGAGAGACCCAGGGCTGGGTAGTTGGGTTCATCAGCCTTCCAGGATTCTGATGTCGTCTTCTTGCTTTCGTTTTTCCCATCCCCTCTCCCTCTTTCATGCAGTATTCGAGACTCGTTCACTTTGTGGCGTACCTGGTTCAACCGTAGATTGGAGACGTGGGTGCTTGCGATGTAACTCTCGTGGGCTGAATGTGGGGGATTAGCAAGCGATGCTGACAGCCGTATAACAATAGCTTGGTTCGTTTCCTTATTTTACCGCCATTCAACAGTGTTACCCTTGTCGTTTGGATAGAATAGTTGCCGTTGTAGGCAGTGTGCGTCTTATTGCAATGTAGGTGGTGCAAGCGGCAGTTCATACGAACTGGTATTTCCCCGCTACCGGAACTTTTATTGCTGCTGGTGGTGTTATTCTTTTTTAACAGGGGTGTCGGGGAGACAATAGTTCAACGTCTCTTTCAGAGGTCCAAGCGCTGGAGGTTTGCTGTATGCAATAAGAAGTACGGTTGACGTGAGTCGGGGCAAGGATGGACGTGGTAGCATTGTAGGAGGGTAATATTGGCTGCGTGAGTTGCAATCTGTATAATTCGGCGAATCATAGGCAGTGTGTGGATATAGTCTGATGCTCTGGGCGTCGAAGAGTGATCAATAACGAAGAGTATGCCACGAGTCGGTGAAGGGGAGTCGCTTTTGAGCGGCTGGATGTATGAGGAAGCTAATGCCTCTATGTGCCAAGAAGCACAGGGAACGAGCTCCAATCCGGTATATGACGATGTAGTTTGGCATTGTTTTCCTTTACTGGACAAAAAAATGCTGCAGTGAATATTCTGGGGGGGGGGGGGGGGGATATCGTCAGGCTGTTGTCAGCATGGATGTAACATCGGCAGAGCTTGGACGAAAGCAACGAAACATTCCCATCTATTCTCTGATGAAGTTTGTAACTGTATGGTCGTTCAATATCGGAAATGGCTGATAGGCGCTGAACCTGCATTCAGCACTAAAAACATAGCGCATGAATACATGTACGCAGTAAAGTAAGCTGAGAATACTGCACGATCGAAGGACCGTGTGCCCCAGGCGGCCAGTGAGAGGAAAAGCCTTATTGAACGGGAGCACTTGAAGTTGGCCACCAATGGGGGGTCGAATAGAAAATGCCGAGGTTTCTCTTGTATTAAATAGAATTAAGAAATGAAACCCAGAGCGAGAGGACGTATATGGGGGCCGTTGGTGTATGTAACCGCACAGGATAAGTGGTGTTTTGACGCCTGTCTGGCTTTGGACCTCGAAGGTTGGAAGTTGAGAGAGTACATCGGCCGCAGCTATCGTAAACCCTATAGACAAGATCTGGAGATCTAATCTATTTCCTAGGCAATTGAATGAAACAGACAAAACAGCAAGGCTTTATTCTTTGGCTTATCGTGGTAACAGATGGAAGCGACTTCAACGCTTTGCCAAGGGCTTCTCTGCTGATATCATTCGTCGGTGGCTCGGGGACAGCATCGATAGCATGCGATGCGTAACTGTATAATCAAGGCGTTGAAAAGCATAAATAGCTGTGTTCACACCAAGATGTGAGAGTAGAAGATGAAATAGTTTAATCGAGCTAGTTGCTCATACTCCCGGAAGGCATAGCCCAGAGTAAATGTTCTTGTCTCAGCTGACCTTTGTACCTACCGGCATATATCTGAGAGTTGTTCATTTAAAGTCTGGCGTTGATCTTGGTGATGTTGTCAACATGATATTGTCGAGTTTGGCACCAAGAGTTGGAAAAGTAGTGCTCAGCATGTGGATCGAGAAGAGGAATATCAGGGCGGAAAGGGGAGACAGAGCTGTTCTCTTTCAATGTTAGAAGCAGATCAAAATGCATCAATCCAGTTGGATAAGAATGAAATTGAAGTTGATATACCTGACACTTAGCAGTCAAGACTGTGACCTAAGGCGCATAGTTTCTGGAGTCTCGATGTAATAGGGCTGTTAATTGAGCTTGATCTGAAGACAATTCAATCGCAGGTGAGTGTCGTAGCCCACATGTAGTCTCAGGTCATTAACAAAATACTAAAGTGGGACATTTCGAGATATAAATAGACTCAATATATATCTGTTCGATTTTTTGTCTTCTTATAAATCTCCTGCAGCACCTTTGCAATTATCGCCTAACCTGACTTTAAACGTTCGCAACATGACTGGTGGCGGGAACTCCGATATGGATACAACAAGCTGTCTTCCCTAGTGTTAGTTGATAAACACGACTGTGAGAGAATTTTCTAGACCGTTTATAGAAAGTTATAGTTTTGAATATTCGAAAGTTGCAAAGGGTTTTGACAGATTTTACGAGCAGCACCTGGATGCGTTTTCGAACAACACTATATCTCAAACGTATCAACCTCTTCTACCAGTGATCACACAGGGAAAGGATTTGCCGTTTTAAAGGTACCAAATAAAGAATCAGACAGTCTCTCTGTTCCTCTTGGGCATCGCTGCCATGTCGAAGCACGTGGGATCCCTTCTCCTAAGCTGATAGGGGTTGTATGGAGAAGCCTCCACTATCGATTGATGCGTTTTCTGCTGTAGTCTTACTGATATATGAGTTTTAGTAGAGTCATAACGGCAGTGCTAACATACTTGAGATTAAACAAGTTATCAGATATATCCATGTGTATTCCACGATATAATATTTCGTACCTACGAGCAACCACGAGAGATGTGTGAGACGGGATACACGACACCTAACGAACGATATCAGATGTAATGATCTCCTCATCGAGAAGACACGTCATAAATATCTCTAATTCTTTTGTGTGCCATGCATTACTGCCACACTGAAATCCTACAAAGTACGGAATGTCAGACTCTTGTTATAATAGTGAAATAGGGAGACATACGGATCCTTAGCGTAAAGAATCCGAGAGGGTGGGCTGATACAATGTTATTGCATAGAGTTATGCTTTGCCATTCATGAAGCTCAGTGACCTGTACAATCAGCTATCTACCACAGAACAGATATGAGCTCACACGGAGTTCCATTAAGAAGGAATGGTTAAGATCACCGTTGTGAGTTCTCATGGCGTCACATATTTGGCAGAAAATGGAACGAATGGATGCCTTATCGTAGACGCCCTTTCAGCCTCACTCAGCATTCACTCTGAATTTGAGACATTTTGCATTTAAACAAACGGTCTGAGTAACAACTCTGATATCCTGCGTAAGGATTTGATCGGCAAGCTGCAGTAGTATCGCATTGATTAAGCTTCCTATAAAAATGGAATGAACATGGCCTGACCGATGAACGCAGGGATCCTGGGATACTCGCATAGCCTCTTGTAATTTGCACCCACTCCATATCAAAAGTAACTCTAATCTATTTAGTGCTATGCTACTTGGCATGGTATTTGGAAATTAGCTATACAGTACTTCATATTTGCCTAAGGCATTGTTGGTCTAAGAGCACAGTACCCGAAGCCAAGCATTGGGTTTAATATCTAGCTAGCATAGAAGCTTCGGTTATGGGTAGTAATGCTAGCACAGAATGTCAGATGTTTTCCTATTTGCACCAGCATGATTCTTACTACCGAATGAATTGATTGATCAATCCAATGGAGCGAACTTTGAAAGGCTTCTTAAAGGAATCATGAATGGCACATTCATGATGGGTATCCTTCTCTGAAAACAACGGGCAGCAGAGTCATACAGTAGAGACAACGAGAACACAAAACTTTAGGACAAAGCCAAACTAAATACAACTATATAAAGACTTGACAGTAATTCTTATACTGAGGTTAATGCTACAATAGTGATATCGACAATAGCTTTTCAAGAAGCAGGTCTCCCTCTGGTTGTCTTTAACGAATAATATGATCGTTTCAATTCTCTCCAATGTAGAAAGCTATCATGATTCACGAGTAGCGTTCATCTACGGCTCATGGCATACTTCTGTGGCTGATACTGACAAGCATGTGTGATGTCAATGGTCCAACTTTCGTAAACACGCTTTCAAAAGTCCTCTGAGTACCAAGACTGCAAAAATCTCTTCCCCCTCCTTGGCTCTACAAAAAGGTTGATAATTGCCTTCTTTTTTTGAATCTCGCAGCGGGGAAGCACACGCTCAACCACGGGCAGGGGAAAAAAATCACCCATCCAAAGCCCATCAAGGCTGTCTTTTTTGTCCTCAAACCCAGTTCGTTGCCCCTTTCAGGATATGGTGTCTCAGCCGCAGCTACAGAGGCAAGGGGGTATCGTATTACTCAGATAGGTGCGACCTGAGTAATATCCAGCTCACAAGGGTTAGTGCGAGCAAAGAGGACACACGCCCTTTGACCCTTGCTCCCGTCCCTGATTCCTCTGGTGCTGACTCCGGCGACGATCATGGCGGGAGTGGACCTTGTATTACTACCAGCCGATGTACTCAGCCGTTCAAAGGCTTGGTGCTCACCGGCCACCGCACATGCGCATGAGGCAGCCCGCTCTTTTTAAGGCGTGGCGCACGGGATGATTCTCGAAATTAGGTGTCATGCCCTGTTATTCGCGTATGCACAAGGGGCCGGCTGGGGCATTTCAGGTTGTAATTTTAAATTGATACGGCTTGTTTCTGCATTCAAGCCAACACTAGGCAGGACAAGTGCAATATTCGCCAAGAGGGTGCGGCAAACCTGAGAGGGCGCAAATGTGCATTTCGAGGCGCCGCCTCTCATGTAGGGAGAGAAATTGCGCCAGCTCATCTTGTAGCTAGCCACCGTACAGGGCGGCTCCGAAGCAAAGCGGTACTTTAACGCCGTCCTGAGACCATGGCAAGCTGCAGGGAGGAGTTGTTCGTCAGGCTGAGAAAAAGGAATTCTTGGGCGCGAACGCCGAAGCCAATCGTTACACGACTTTGTTAATTTGTCGGCTTGTAAGTGTGCCGATCGCAATCAGCGGAAAGCATCGAGCCCGAGTACGAAGCGGTCAGAGGCAATCGAAGGCGATGTTGGATGGTAATAGCCCAAAGATGCAGCTGCAGGGAGCGTCAGGAGCGAGATACTATCGTAATTGTCTTTATTTCGTGTATAAGCGCCACGTCACTCGGTGTATTTGTGGCATTTACATGTTTTCTCGTCTTGTCCTGTTGATCTTGAGGCCCAACTGCTCCGTACGTGATGGGACTTGTATATCATCAACTCTGCTCTCGTGAACTTGAAATGGAGCATCCGATCTCTGAATGGGGCGGCAGTTGCAACTCCAGCCCAGTTATAGCGGATCTCCCACCTAGCTGATCGCCATAACCGTATCGCCGGGCTTTAAACCATAGCTGATTTTAAAGATTAGCTGGTGTCGGGTGTGATTATCGGTTCCGCTGCGAGCCCGCTTCGCATCCCTGTATAGATCGTCGAAGCCTCCAAAGTCCACTTATCGCCCTCAAAGCGGCAGTCAGATAAGCAGGACAAGGATCTACCATTAGTAGAGAGAAACGCCATATTGTCGGGGTGGATTAGCTTTCGACCGAACAGAGCCAAGCCTGTGGGACGTAAGACGCGAAGCAAGCTCGAGTCATCAGGCCGCGATCGGGGAGAGATGAGTTGACGACATTCTTGTTTCTCGAGCAAGTGCATAGTTTGCTTTGTGTTGAGGTATCCTACAATCTTCTAAACCTCCAACAAGCAGTTTACGAAGATTACATTTCTTTATCATGTACGAAGACGGCCCCAATCCCACAAAAGTCCAGGTTACCCCCGCCTCCAAACGGGCGAACCCGCCCCCTCCGTTGGTCTTGATACACGATGGAGGCGGCACGACGTTTGGATATTTCATGCTAGGAAGCTTGTATCGCGAGGTGTGGGCAATTCACAACCCTCATTTCTTCGATGGGGGCGCCTTTGAAGGCGGTATGGATGAGATGGCGCGCTTGTACATCCAAAACATGAAAGACGCGGGCATCAAAGGAAACATCTTGCTAGGCGGTATGTGTAGAGTTGAGGCGCGAGCCATGTCATACTAGTTCACATCATCCGGCAGAATCTCTGCTAGAGATGATTGTCCTCGGTGTGCATCGTAATTCTGTAATTCCGGCATCCGCAAGACTGACACCTCTATGTTGTTCCATTCGCAGGCTGGTCCCTCGGTGGATATCTGTCCCTAGCCGTTGCGCGCTTCTTGGCTGAAGACCCCGAGGCTACGATCAAAGTGCTGGGCATCGTCATGATGGACTCGCCGTATCATATCCCCTACAACCAGGTCCAAGGCCTTACCGACGATCCCGTCCTCGAAAACATCCCCGCGCCCGTCCAAAAGTGCTTCGACCGCTGCGACGAGATGCTTGAGGACTGGGAGGTGCCCAGGTGGGACGGGCCTGCATGCAATGGGAAGCCCGTTTTCTTCGGCGTTGGCGGAAGACGATACTCTGTGGCCCCCGGAAACGTGCTGTACAAGCCCTTTGAGGGAACATGGTCATCGATCGAAGTGCCAAAGTATGAGATAACGTCAGAGTCGCAGTCTGAAAGGACGCCAATAACACCACCACCCACAGTCCTGATACGGGCGACTCAATCTATGCCACTTCCAGAAGGCAGAACAGAGCCGTTTATGATAGACAAGTATCGTGGTGATCGTACACTGGGGTGGTCAGGCAACACCCCGGATTTCATCAAGGCGGTGCTTGATGTGAATTCGAACCACTACGAGATGTTTGATAGGGAGAACGATTCGCAGGTATGAAGTTTAGTATCAAGCCGAAACGAATACTTTGAAGATGGCTAACCAAACTACGCACGCAGATAAAAGACATCACTGCACAGTTGAATCTGTCACTGGAGATTCTAGAAAGCATTGGAAATACTGCAAACCCGTCTTTCGGTGGTAAGCCAAAGTTGGATTACTTTTAACACGAGTATCGGCCGTGTGGGGCTTGCTCGGAGCGTGACATTGAGATTGATTTGCGTCTTACAGGGCATCTTTAAGTAGAGGTATACCTGGTAAATCGGTAATGGAACAGATAATATTTACAGGAAGCAATAGATGGGACGGGCCATAGAAAATGGGGTAGATTGAATAGACGAATGAACACGAAACGCTGCTATGTGTACTCGTCTTTTCACATTATCCATCAGAGACCACAGCCGTCACAAACGAGTCTTAATAGTTTGGATAGCTGCTCTAAAAAAATGGGGGGATTGGAGCACTGCGCTCTATACACTTATCGCCATCACACGCAAGCTTTTGAAAGGATCAACTCTTGTGTTATTTCAGTCTTCTGCTATTCTCAGCTCGGGGAGGGTAGCCGGGCGAGCTTCGAAAGGAGTGTCTTAACGGTACAGTCAACGTAGCGGGACGAGGACTCAAAGCCGGATAGGCACGGAGTATAGCTTTCCTTGCATGTAGCACAATATACTCTGATCACGAATTGATTAATTATATTACGCTGGCTGTGGGCTTCCCCCGACAATAAGCGGCCTTTTGCCCTTCTGCGACTCACGGGGCAGATCAAACGAGTACAAGTATGCAGGATCAATGTCTCATGATGTGGTGTTGCCACACTCCAGCCCCAATCAGGGTTTCATTTACCATCTCCACTGGCACGTAAGATGGCTCTTCCTCGTTGTAGTAATACAATATTGTTAGTGTCATTATCTTGGAGACACGAATTCATGCAAGGTAAGTCTACATGTATCCGGACTTGTTGCCCTCTAATAAAGCAGGAAAGCAGACTACCTGTACATCTACTTGTATTCTCATGGGAAGAACACCGAACACATGAGAATTGGTCCTCACTAACTGGTTTGTGTGATTTCAGCAAGCTGTGTGAGTAATACCCAGTTTCGCAATCAGACAACATGTTTAAAGCTCAAGAGCGCGTTATATATATAGAGGTGATGAAACATGATAGGAATCCACACGAGCGATTCTGGACAAGGACATGAGAGAGTCATAAGAAAAATGCCCCGCATTGAGCAACCCCGCCCTATTTACGGCTACTGTGCGTCGATGGCGGGGCGGCAAAGGTTTGGCAGTGAATGAAGCTTCTTTGAGCCGTGTCTTGTAGCAACAGACTCTCGAGAAACTCAATTATTCGCCTTTCATAAATCAAGAGATCCAAGTATCATCAGAAGCGGCAAGACGAAGCACAAAATAGACAATTCACAAGCAGAAGCAGCTGTGGCAAGGATGGCGACGACACGACCAATCACCTCTTTCAAGGCCCTCACCTTTGACTGCTACGGCACTCTTGTGGACTGGGAGTCTGGCATCTACAACAATCTCCAACCTTTGATACAACAGCTCGCCGATTCGCATCCCCTCAAGAACAATCGTCTCGGCTTACTCAAGGCCTTGGTCCGACACGAGGGACTCGTCCAGACAGCCAACCCAACCTACCTATATCACGCCGTACTGGCCGCCGCATATGGCAATCTCGCTGCCGAGCTCGGCGTCTCGGCCGACGAGGAGGCAAAGTCAAAGTTTGGATTCGGTGTCGGCGACTGGGCCATCTATCCAGACACTCTCGACGCGCTGAAGCGGCTGCATAAGCACTTCAAGCTGGTTATCTTGTCCAACGTAGACCTCGACTCGTTCAAGCGCACTTTGGAGAAGCAGTTCCAGGGCTTCCCTTTCGATGCCATTTACACTGCTCAGGAGATTGGGTCATACAAGCCGGACTTGAACAACTTCCGGTATCTCATTGAGCACTGTGAGAAAGACCTGGGCGTTGAGAAGGGAGATATTTTACACACGGCGCAGAGTTTGCATCATGACCATGTGCCAGCAGCGCAAATTGGATTGACGAGTGTTTGGATTGAGCGAGGCGAGGAGGTTGAGAGCGTCATGGGCGGAGATCCGGAGGCGTATGCAGACAAGGTGTCGTATTCATGGAAGTTTACAAACATGAAGGAGATGGCCGCTGCGGTTGATGCCGCCGCAGAAAATGCCTAGAGGGATTATATAGAAGAGACAGGCATATGTATAAACTGGAGGTATTTCTCCCATCCATCTTCATATCATGGACGTTAGAGTCTCGTGCCCATGCCAAACAGTGTCATAACAGTATTCTCCGTTGCGCCCTAGTCGAATATAATGATATTGATCAGGTTTGATGCTTATCGTCGAAATCATCACCGCCATGAATCTCGAGGCTATATCTAGATAAACACGCGAGTGAACGCAATTCCTGCGATAACCATGGCCAACATTTTTCCAGTTCAATTAATTACATCACCATTGGCTCCTAGCTGTGGCTGTGCTGTGATCCTTTCCGCAACAGCTGCCATGTGGCGCTCAACGCCTCACCAGCGCTGGGTATTACCGCATTTGGCAACTCTGAGGGGCCAAGGCCGAAAAGAGGATTTTCAGGTGATGAGAGTAGAGGAATGGAGTTGAGATATAAAGCTGATGATCTGGGAGCAGCTTGATGGAAATATTCATCATTTGTTTATTCTACCATCATCTCATCTCCAGCAATAAATCAACCAGTGCATCAATCCTGTGTCCGCCTTTGAACAACACTGGTACCTACAAGCCATATTCATCCTATCCTACATTACATCCTTGTCACGATGGGCGGTGCCGAATCAAGGGAAGCTCACCAGAAGATCCACAAAGCCTCGCTGGACGGTGTGACATTCCCAAAGACGCTGGAGCTCAACTACGACCCCTCATGGAAGAAACTCAAGCTATCCCTCGACCACGGCTCTCAGCCGCTCTACATGTTCAACCTCCCACAAGGTTGGTGGGGGGACCTCATCATGTACAACGGCCCTACCCTGCATCATCCCCCGCTCGCAGCGGTGCGCAACTCTGGCAAGACGGCCATGGGCAATGTCGTCACGCTGCCCCCTCTCGGGCCCGGTCAGGAAGTCGTTGAGGAGGAGATGTCACGCCGGACGAAGCGCCTCATGGACTTGTACTCCTTTACCGTGCCCGTGTCCCAGAGAGGGGGGGAGAAGACAACGCAGCGTGTCGAGCGGTTCGAGTGGGTGGGCACCGGCGGGAAAGAGGTCAAGGACTTGCATGAATGGGTCCGCGGATGGAAACTCAGGCGAGTCGTGGCGAGTTATGCAGATGCATATGCAGGCTCGGATGAGGAGAAGGATGATGGAGACGCATCGACGTATGAGAACACGGACGGAGAGATTCTGGCCGTCTGGGCGGATGCGACGGGCCTGAGCAAAAAGGCTGCCAAGTTCGAGTTCATCAATAGTGGAGCGACCGGTGAGCTGGGGGAGGCGTGGGCCGTCATGGCGGTCATTACGTTTGTGAGGGTATGGCAGAGATACATGCAGCTGGTAATGGTGTAGGTGGGATACGTAGGCGAAGGATGAGGCGGCACGAATTCGAAGCTGGAGACGAGGTCGGATATTGGCCTGGGTTGGACCAATTGTATTATGTGGGATGCCTGTAGAGGGCTTGTAATATAAGCATCTAGTAATTAAAAACTCCGTTTATACGCTTTTGGACAGCTGTATCTGGGGCTGCGAATCACACTTCTAGTAGGGTAAAAGCTCGACTTAGTACCTAGGCATAGGAAGCGAGGGTAGTGACCTTTGATTAGGACACCCATGCCGGAAGGCAGCGGTTCATTTCGAAAATATTTGTACTGCTACATCTGATCAATTTCAAGTCAATCTTTATCTCTTGATATGCTCCCGCCTTTACCACTTACAATCAGTAATGTCATGTCATGTATAAACGTAAATACACACACTAATGCCAGACATCTCGCCAAGGACGCCACAAGCGTTTCAGGAACAAAATCCAAGTCAATATAACATGCTACGTGGGCAGTCCAAGGCCAAGTATCACAGTCCATTCAATCAATTATTCCCAGGCATCAATTTATCCCGTGCCGCCTGAGTATTTGGAATGTATCCGCACAAATACATCACATGCCTTAATAAAAGTAATATACGAGTATGTCTCTCGAGCGCTCACCTCGAATCGCTTCGCTTCGGCTCCAACTTATTGCGTCGGACTTGCATCTCCCATTCCGCCTAGCTAGAATGCCGTGTTGACGTATCAAGTCTCACACAGGCTATGATGTACATGTAAATTGATTGGAATGGCATCTGAGAGTGCTGCAAGAAAGCAATGATCCGCTTCTCGTTCATCCGCTCGGGCCCTTTCTCCCCCCGACGAGGCCATCACGACTGACTAGAAGGAGTCCCCACGCACGCGGGAGGCTGTATAATACGCAAAGAACCGTTGGTAGTTCCCGTGTCCCGGTTTCCAAATCGGGATACTCCTGCGTGTGCCTCGATGGTTAGACTCAGCCATCACAGTAATAAACAGCCCGTTGGGAGCACATGTAGGGAAGTGGTTTCAGCCCCGTATGCACCTTTGTCTCCTTTTGGAACGGCACGGCACAGGGCTGATGTGTCCAGCCGCTTGTAACACTCACCGGCTGCTCGTACACCATCTGAGACAGCACTAGGTGGTTCATTGGTTGGTCGTGGACGCATCAGTAAGACAACATGTAGTCCCCTCACGTCAAATAACGCTATATCGAGGCGGAGGTCATACAGCATGTGAAGTTCATGTATTGATATCCAGCTCGTTCTCTTTGGGGTCGACCTCATCATACATGTATCTTCCAGCACGGATTGTGCTTCGTACTTCCGACACTGATTAGCTTAAGCTGGTGTCTCTGGACATCTATGATGAGGAGAATTGGCCTAGCAGAGTTTGAATGTATTTACAGATGTCTTATGAGCCCACCACAAGACCTCGGCTCGGGGATCGTAATATTGCGTCTGTTAGTGCCATCTATCGACAAGTAGACGTGCCGGATATTCAGGTATCGTCCTGAGAACCGTCAGTAGGGAGTTAAGCGGCCACACTAAACATGCCTGGTCTCTACCCCTGCCTTATACTTGTAGTAAGCTTCGTCGTGGCATACTAAGAACTTGTGTGGCCTCGCGTAGGCAACGACTCCTCCTATCCAGGCTCGTACTGACTGACATCAGGATACAGCGCTAGTGTGTCTCAAGGCTGGCTGAGGGAGAAAAGGCGGCAACTGATTTGCCTTGTTTCTCATCGACGTAGTTTGCGGCAAGAATGGTGCGATGCTATTCTGTGTAGGACTGCGTCGAAGATCCCGAATCGACCATCACAGCGCTTAGAAGTCTCTCGTGTGATCCGCACCTCCCCCTTCTCTCCCTTCTCATCCCCACCACAAGACGTTTTTCGTGTCTCAAAGTCCGTTGACTCTAGACACCCCTTTCGAGAATAAGAAGTCGCCGTTTCCCATCTCCCCTTGACTACCATCAGTACCTTGGATCACACAAGCAATTTGCACTTGGAGCTCTTTTACCCAGATTCTCTTCCTGATTTCGTTGTCTTGCACAGGAATTTTATTATCAGTTTTCGTTTTCGTTTTCGTTTTCTTGGAAAGTTAACAGCAGAAGCTAGTCTTTTATTGAGGGCTATCCTGAGCCATACAAACTCATATCCTGAATTTCATTTGTTACGGAGAGCTATCCTGAGCTACTCTTATTCACTCCTGACAGAGAGCTATCCTGAGCTACTCTTACAAACTCCTGATAGGGGGCTATCCTGAGCCACTCCTGAACTGACTCCTGATCATTAAAGATTTTTTTTGAAAACAAAATTGAAGATTTTCTTGTTTTGCAATAAAAAAGAAAGCAAACTCTTCTAAATCTTATATATCATCTTGACGCATCAACATCATGTCTTCATTCAGGTCCGCCCAACGTGCAGTCCGTGCTTCTGCACCTCTGCTTCGTTCTTCACCTCTCATCACCAACCGGGGCAGCCAACGTTTGTTTCACGAGTCTAGCAAGGCCAAGGCCGTAGAGGCTATCGCCACCCAGACACCACTGAGCAACGGCCCGCCCCCTCCCCCTTATGTGGCCCAACAGGTTCAACAGCAGCAACTTATTTCGCAGCCAACACCCAAGGTAGAGGGCTACGCACAGCTTAACGTCAGAGATCAGGCGTATAACCCCAGGTTCTACGAGACCATCGGCAAGATCATGAAGCTTCGCGAAAAATACCTGCGTGATCGTGCCATCTTCGTCGAGTCTGAGGAGATGATTGGACTTATGCTCGGGCTCGGTGCCAAGGAGTCTGACATCCTCGGCATGAAGGCTGTCTCAGACAAACTGTATCACGACCCTACCCTGCCCTTCCGCCTGACTCGCAACAGCCGCTTCTGTCTCGACTTTGATACGCACTCTATTCGCCGCCTAGAGTTTCAGCCCTTTTGCCTGTCCGTCGAAGAAGACTTCAACCGTTACGACTCTGGTGCCATCCGCCGCTTTGACGAGGTTCAGAATGACTTGCAGCTCAACTCAATCTTCCAGGCCCTCTTTGTATTCAAGGCCATGATCATCCATGGCATGGAGATTGCTCACCGTCCCAAGCTAGAGTACGGAATTAACAAGTGGGTGTGCACCCTCTTCAGCCTCCGCACTGTTACCACTCCCCATATTCTGGGAGAGCCTGCTCTCGAGGGTGTGCACGCTGATGGTGTTGACCACACCATGACCACCTTCTTGGGAAGCTACAACATGTCGGATAACAGTGCTGCCACATTTATGCATGACATGGAGGAGAAGACCGGCATCCCCCTGGAACAGATCCAGCCTATCCACTTGCTTGGCCGAGTCCAGCACAAGAGGTTCCTCGATACACTCATGATCGTCGATCACGAGCGTAAGCATAGCTTGTCACCTGTGTTCCCCGTCGATAAGACCAAGGAGGCGCACCGCGATATGCTTGTCTTCTTCACTCGCAAGCCTGTGGAGCAAACCCACGTGTCTGGCGGCATCGACTCGCTCAACCCTCACAAGGACCTGCCTATGGAGATTCCTCTCTACTTGCCTGGGACTAACTAGAAAGCTCACTACATTTGCTGAACATTTAAAGTTCTTTGCTCACATTATGAGATGAACTAGCGGGGGTGATGTCGGACATTTGGAGGCGCTTCGATTCCGTTAGTTGCTGTGGGTGGATGATTCAGGGTGGTGTGGACTGCATGATGAGTCGACGCCGTCTTCTTCATGCTTAGGATATCTTATTGCTTCTGATTCATTGTGTAAAGAGAAATAAGAATTTAAGGCAATGAAAGGGCTGTTTTCCTAATTGCTTTCCCTAGGAAGCTTTTACTTTTGTTCTATCTTCTCTGTTGTTATAGGTTCATGAGCTAGTTTGTTCCTCATGGAAGCACACAGACCTACGGTCTTTTCTGTCGGGGATTTTGAGACACGCATTCATGGTTTGACGAAGTCTATATATGTTTCCGGACTTTGTCAATACTCGGGGGCTTTTCCAACTTTTTGTCTGGCTTTGCTAATGTTATTTTATCACGGTTAAAACGGTGTACATGTGCCAACGATTTTGACTTCACTTACAATTGATAGAGTGATACCCCAGATTAGTAACTACCTACATCAAAGGACAACCACAGGAGGTATTATTTTGAGATTCAATGATCATACCAGCACCAAATCGTGTGATAAAAACCACATGAAAAAAATTAGAATCTATTTGTACTTGTGAGACCTTCCTTTAACAATTTTTAGGAGAAGAGAATGAGAGCCGAAGACCACCATGAGGTAGCTCAACGGGGGCATCGCAAATACCCTGAACGATTAGATAAGATCAATCAGACCCCTCTGGAAGAAATGAATCCCCTGTTTGTGCTTTGTCTTAGGGTGGGTACATGCCCTTATGTTAATTAATGCACGATGTGTTCATGTTTTGAGTATATATGAGGACTGCAGCCACTATATGCAAGCAATGCTACAATGCCTACAAGCATCATGGCTCCTCTACTTACATACTTATGATAGCTTCATACATGGCAGATACAACATCTTCCCTCCCTTACGCCTTACCCCTGTTCTCACACGGCCAGTGCCCTACCTAATGTCATTTCAGCCAGACGAGGCTTGCTGCAAGGAGGCGCTAATTCGGCAAGCTATCTGGCCAATCAATTACATTGGTACAGTTTGAAGGATGCAGGACAATATAAAAGCTATATTAATAGCTTCACCGCTTGTTTTGGTCTTGGCTTATGATTATATCACATCGTAAAGACAACGAAGCAATGTAGGGAAGACATCGATTTCATGAATCTAGCACAACCGCGGACCAAAAATATGGAATATCAAGAGAAGTCAATACTAACAAAGGATAACAAATCATGGTAATTGACAGAGAACATGGTGTGTAGGGTCGAGAGCATATGAATAATTGAAGTAGAAGACACCGAAACCAGGTAACTGGCGTGACATACATGTGCATCCTTCAGGCAAAGCCCACCTTGAACTTCATTGGGAATTTGCTGAGAAGCAAATTAACATCGTATGGCGAAGACGAAGGAAGGGTGGGGTTAGAATAGCAATGTGATGGATGGTACAGTAAGTCCTCAGCGCCATGTGATGTCTATGCGGCTCTGCGCGCTTCTTTTATGCCCTTGGCAGCTAATTTGCCCAAATGTTCTATGTTTCCAGCACCCATAAACTCGAGCACGCTGACGTTGACTCCAAGTGTACGGCGCCACCAATTACGAATCTCGAGGGCAACAAGCGAATCAACACCAAGTTGGGTCAAACTTAGGCTAAGGTCCAGTTCCTTGGCATCTCGTGACATGAGATTGTAAATACACGTGCCAATCTGAGCTGTCAGAAAATCGAGATTGCTCGGTGTATCAAGCAGCGAGGGGCTGGCGTTGACGCTCTTCATGAACTGACCAAAGTCCTCAGATCCGGTTGAAGCACCGGAAGTTGCACCGGCATCTCGGAGATGTGCTTGGGCCATGCGTCGGTCGCGCTTCCAAATAGAGCGGTTATTAGGATCGGAGAGCGGCTTCGTGCTCTTGAGGCCGATGGTGAGCTCCGCTGGGTTAAAGAAGCCATCGTCCGAAGAGGAAGCTGCTGGGTGTTGATGAGACAGGGTATACGCGAGGGCATCGAGGAGTTCGGTTTCGCCCATTGTATAGAAGTTGAGGGCGCGGAACTGCTCCAAGAGGGCCGGATTCTCAACCACGTACCCAATATCGTCCACAACACCTACATTCACTACACCCGCAGGCAAACCCTGTTGGTGACGAAATTGCGTAAACGCCGTCAAGTAAGCATTGGCTGCTGAGTAGTTTGCCTGGCCCACTTGACCTACGACATAGGATATGGAGCTGAATAAGGTGAAGAAGTCCAAATCACAGTGTTCCAAAGCTTGATGGAGATTGATGGCGCCGTCAACTTTGGGTCCGGCGGCCGTAAACCAGTCTTCGTGAGAGAGCTGTAGAATACCACGGTCCTATTTATGCCCTTGTTAGCCTAGGGTTAACGTGCTTAAAGTATGTGAACTTACTCTCAGAACCATGGTCATTAAGAGAACGCCCGCGATTGGCATTGTCGCCTGTTCCACCGCTCGGTAAACATCTTGCAGGCTTGTGACGCTCCCTTTAATAGCCTGGACCTCACACCCTTGTGATTCGATCTCTTTGATGAACCTCTTATCTTGTTCAGAATCTCCGGCAGATCGTGACAAGTACATTATGTGACGAGCACCGTTTTCTACCATCCAGTTGGAGACAGATTTACCTAAGCCGCCGAGTCCTCCTACTAACAGGTACGTCCTGTCGGATTTGAACTTTACAGGCAGAGGCTTTGCTGCTGATTGGAGCTTTGATGGGTCTGCTGGCATAGATACGACAATCTTGCCAATATGCTGGCCCTTTTGCATGTATCGGAAAGCCTCAACGATATCCGCAGCCTCAAAGCGCTTCAAAGGTGCGATAGGCTTGATAGTACCCTTTTCATAGTACTTGTTGAACTGTTGCAAGATCTTCTTACAAACGTCTGGCCTTTCAACAGCCATTTGCGACATGTCAATGCCATGAAATGAGCGATTGGACTCGAATAGTCTCATCCCAAGTTGCCCTCGACCGATGAAGTCGCGTTTTCCAATCTCGAGCATTTTCCCAAACGGAGCGACACACTTCCATGAAGTGTGTAACAACTCTCCTGATAAAGAATTGAGCACCAAATCAGCACCCTGACCATTAGTAACGGCCATGAGATCCCCGTAGAATGAGATATCACGAGAATTAAAGATGTGCTCGCGAGGAACCCCAAAATTCTCAATCAGATACTGGGCTTTCTCAGCATTGCCGACAGTGGCGTATATAACGGCACCCATCATTTTACAGATGTTGAGTGCTGCAATACCAACACCACCGCAAGCAGAATGGATGAGAACGGACATGCCCTCACACAATCCACCCACATTGATGAGTGCATGGATTGCAGTCGCATAAACACATGGAACTGTAGCGGCATCTTCAAAACTGAGGTTGTCGGGAATTTTGACCACAAGACTTGCTTCCGAGATGAAGCTTGTTGTAAAACATCCGTGACCAATGGTCATTACTCGATCTCCTGGTGAAAGTCCTGTAGCATTTCTGCCAACTTTCCGGACGATTCCGGAACACTCAATTCCGAGGCCTGGTTTGTAGCCTTCAACAATGCCCATGGCAACAAGAACGTCTTTGAAGTTCATACCAATAGCACGGGGCTCAATCTCGACTTGGCCGTCCCGAAGTAGTTTTGTTTCGTCTTCTGCCCACTGAAGCGTTTGTAGTTGGCCCATACGCGCAATTTCGAGCTTTTTGTGAGACGTAGATTTTGTAAAAGGTGTCTCTCCAGCATGTTCTGCGATATCTATCCACTGATATCGTGGTATCATAACCCTTCCATTGACAATTGCGTACTCCCAATCAGGATCAAACTCATCATCCTTGGCTCTATTGCGGAAATTGTGGAAAACATGTAGAATACTTTCCGCCTCAAAATTTGCCAAGTCCATTTCTAACGTGGCAAAGTCCAGTGAAAGCTCGGATCTGATATTTCGAGTTGCGCCAATGGAAGTTGCATACCGGGGATCTTGTGATCCGACTTGGGCGTGTCCGGTAATCCACAACAGCCCTCTTTCAGCAGGAAACTTGCCAAGATAGTTCTGCCATGAGGTGAAGGTGTCTTCAGTCATCTCAAAGAACATTGTGTCGTGAAGGTCTAAAAGAGAGATGACATCTGCCTCTGGATCAGGCTCTTGTGATAGAGTACGGAATTCAACTTCGTAGCCTATCTCACTCAGTAACTCGGAAAGGGCGTCTGTGTGATCCTGGGAATATGGATGTCCAAGAAGAGTGACCTTTCCAGGCTCGCGAATGGGAGTAGCTACAGTAGTGAGAATGGTCGCCGTAATGCGGTCATCGTCCATAATCAGACCTTCGCTCCCCGAAAATCCGCCATCTATGAGAAGGTTATGCCACTCGTGTGCCTCATGCAGTCGCTTGTCTGTGCGACCATCTTCCATGTTATTCCACCACTCGGGAGTGAAGCCCATTATAAATTTATAAAAGTTCGCATTAGGTGACAGCTCTTGGATAAGTAAGCGACCATTTGTTTTGATGAGTTTATGAATGTTCTGAAGGGTATCTTGAATATGAGAAGATAAATGCAGGGTTCTATTGGCAATGATGAAGTCGAATGAAGAAGGATCAAATCCTTGCGCTTTGAGATCTTTGGAGATGTCCAAGATCTTGTACTCAATATTTTCGTAGCCTTCCAGTTCCTTACTTGCAAGCTGGATAGTTTCTTCGTTTTGGGCCGTGTAGACGTATTTGCTATAACTGCGGTCGCCAGTCGAGTTCACGAGGGCTTTCATAGCTGCGGCGGTGGTATTGGTGGACCCAGATCCAAGCTCCAAGACCGTCATTGTTGGATTGATATGAGCCAAAGAGCTGAGCAGCACCGATATATCACTCTTTCCACTGATGAAATTGCACAAGTCACTAAAATATCCATCTTGTTTGAGTATTTCATTGGCGTTCTGTAGGCCTTTGAGGATTGCCTCAGCTGCTGTAGCCAGTCGACTGAGAAGCAGAGAAATTTTGGCACAGCTAGTGTGGAGGAGGAGCTTCTTTGTAGCGTCGATTTCTGTTTTCACTTTTTTCGAACTGAGACGAGCGAGACGTGCGCAATCCGGGACGTTCTCGTAATTCCCATTGAGAGCCTTTGTCCGTTGCTTAGTGAGCCATTTATGAAAGTGTGCCAGGTGGGCAGAGGTTGGGAGGCGCTCCATTCGTCGAAGTACATCCAACTGATATAAAAGAGCCAACTTTTCAACTTTTGATACTTCGCCTGGAGGTGAGCGAACTGATTGTATAAGGTTGTTTGGAGCAATGAGATCGACGTGGGGTTTCCAGTGTAAGTGAGCGGCTGGCAGTGGACCAGCTTCATCCATATCGCCATTCTCTAGAGGACTAAACTCTCCATTTCTTAGACTCAAGATCACTTTACTGTCAGCCATGATAGTAGCGGAGCCGCGAATTGCTCCTGTTGCGCTTGATACCGCAGCCGTTCCGAGGCGCATTTCTGGCTGACCATTGTTGATGTATAGCTCATCGATATAGGTCGGGACACAAAGTTGTTTAAGTTTGCGAGTTAACCCATCAGCAATCGCTACTGTAAAGGCTTGTAGTACGAGGTCAATTATACTGGGATGCAAGGGGTAATAAGGACCTATTGTTGGATCGCGATTCCTAATATCAGAAGCGGCAGTATTTCTCCCTGGGTGAGCTGAAATGTTGGATAAACCCTGGAAATCGGGGCCGTAATTCAGTCCAACTTTCTTCATGGCACGGTACCATCCTATAGTGGAAACTTGGCGCGGCTGTTCACAAACATCTTCGGAGCCGGCACTGATTTCTTTGCCTGCTCGGACTTTTCCAGTACAGTGCTTGGTCCAGGAAGTGCCATTGAAAGATGAAATGGAGAACTTGTACCAGACAGAGTTAAGCTTCGAGGTGAGCCGAACTGGACAGAGATGCGTAATAATCTCGTGCGCTTGTTGTTCCTTTAATACCAAGGCGTTTTGAATCTCCACTTGTCTTAGAGATGCATCCGTTTCGTCGCCACCTTTGAGCTGTCTTACAGCCTCGATAGCCATTGCGATATAAGCAGCAGCGGGAAGTACAATGTCATCTTGGATCTTATGATCTCGAGCCCAGGGCACATTATCCAAACGAAACATGTTTCTCCAAGAAGGCTCCAAATCGTCAGCTTCGAGAATGCGGTTTCCAAGGAGTTCATGAGGAGGGAATTTGCGAAGGCGCCATTCTCGTGAAACTCGACTCTCATACCAGTACGTGGTATCATGTTGCCAAGCATAATTAGGAAGATCTGTTAACACATTGCGGCCTGTCGTTGTAGCTGCAATGTCGACAGGGGCAGCCTCTTGATATAGACGCCCGAGAGAGCTGAGTATCGACTTGGGACCACTTTCGTCTCTAATGAGTGTTGGGATGTAGGTCGATGCACCGGGCATCTGGATGGACTTGAAGATGTCTCGAAGCGGACCAGAGAGAGCGGCATGGGGGCCTATTTCAAGGTAGACCATATCTCTAATTGCAGAGAGCATCATAAGCTGTACAGCTGACGAAAACAAGACTGGATTTTCTAGATTCTGTCTCCAGTAAGATGGACCCAGCTGTCCAGCTCTCTTGATCTGCCTTTTGGTGACGCTGGAGAAGAAGGGCACAGTGGGCTTTGCATCTTTCACGAGGCCATCGAGCAGCTTCTCGTATCTATCGCCAATCTCACGCATGTGATGAGAATGGTAAGCTCTCTCAACTCTCAGCTTGCGAGCAAAACAGTCGGGCATATCTTTGCTGATACGAGAAATCGCCTCATCTAAGGGTTCCACGTCTCCTGAAATGGTCACACTCTTGGGACTGTTCTCACACGCCACCACAATGCCGTCCTGGAGATAGGGCGTTACATCTTGGTAGGCGAGACCAACGGCTGCCATTGCACCGAGCCTTCCATGATGTTGCGTCACTTGCCCGCGATAGTAAGCGATTATAATGGCTGCTTCGAGAGTCAGAGCACCGGCTGCATAGGCGGCACCCATCTCGCCGCTGGAATGGCCGACCACGGCCGCAGGGTTGACGCCCCATTCTTTAAGAAGATTGACAATACCGATTTGAAGAGCGGTGCAGATCGGTTGTGAGAACTCGGGTTGTTGAATTTGGCTTTCTCCTTGAGGTCGCTTGAGCTCTTCCTCTATTGTCCATTGAGGGGGATGGGGCAGGGTCTTGAGAGTAGCATCCATTTTTCGTATATCTTGTTGAAAGGCGGGATATTGTTCGAGAAGGTCGGCACCCATCCTCGCCCATTGAGCCCCTTGTCCGGTAAAGACAAAATTTACCTGGGGAGGGTCCTTGTGCTTGATGATGGGGGAAAGGTCAGGAGGGTTTACACCATCATAAATAGCAAAGGCTCTCTGGCTTAGGTCTTCTCTTCTCGCTCCCAGGGTGTATGCGAGATCTGGCACTCGGTCTGGATGCCGTTCAGCATAATTAAAGATATCTGATGCTCTTTCTTTCAACGAAGTGGCCTGATGGGCGGAAACGACCAGTAACTGGGGATTCTTGGTAGAAACTCTTTCTTCTTGTGAGATGTATGGCCTCGCTGAATCAACAATAACCTATTTGGACGTCAGTAAATACATTGTAACATTATAAACTCAAGCTACATACATGAGCGTTAGCACCTCCCACGCCAAAGCAATTCACTGATACACGCTTCAAGCGATCTTTTGGCCATGGAGTTGGCTCTGTTGGGACTTTGAAATGGTATTTATCCCATTTTACTATTTCTCAATTGTCAGCTTCACTGAGCATTCATAGGGTGTATGTTGGGATACTGCCTCACTTTTTGGACTAGGCTCAGAGAAGTTGATCTGTGGTGGGATTGTCTCATGTTCTAGAGACAAGACAGCCTTGATCAAGCTGCTCAAACCAGATGCGCCTTCTCCGTGGCCAATGTTTGGTTTCACCTAAAGACATCGCGTTAGTTTGTCTCTCGTGAGGCAGATACTATTCCATGTTTGAAGCAGCAACTGACCGAGCCGATGTATATACCATGATCGCCAAAGACCCGGCCTACTGCTCCTGTTTCCATCGGATCGCCGACCGACGTGCCTGTCCCATGACATTCGACAAAAGCTGTATCGCTAATATTCGAGATCTTGGCCACGTTATAAGCACGACGCATGAGAGCTACATGCGCCTCTTGATTGGGATTGGTAATGCCAATGGTTTTGCCGTCAAAGTTTGTGGCCGTCGCCCGGACGACACCTCGGATCGGATCGCCGTCGCGAATCGCATCGTCGAGCTTCTTGATGAAAACCGCATTGATTGCTTCGCCGCGAGCGTATCCGTCTGCTTTGGCGTCAAACGTCTTACATGAGCCCGTCGGTGAGAGAACTCCTTGTTCGGATAAGGCAATTGTCATGGTCGGCGATAGGAACAGACTGGTTCCAGCAACAACTGCAGACTCACACTCGCCGGTGTATATGGCTTGACAAGCCTCGTGGAGTGCAACGAGTGAAGACGAGCACGCAGTACGAATAGTCATGCTGTTTGATTTAATAACCATCAATACTAAACAACAGAAGAAACATGTCATTTCAACATACCTAGGACCTCTCAAATCATACTCATAGGAGGCGCGGTTGGATAGTGCAAAATCTCCTCCGGTCAAGATTCGATGTGTGCCTAGATGCTGAGGGTCTTTGGCATATAGGTCTAGCCAATCTTCACCAAAGACACCAACGTAGCAACCAATATTGCGGCCGCGCCAGTTCTTCTGTCCCCCGTTCTCCATGCATTCCCAAATCACTTCTAGCAGCAGTCTGTGCTGCGGATCGAGCTTCTCAACTTCTGCTTTGCTCATCGAAAAAAACGACGCGTCCCATTTCTCCAGATCGCGGTCCAAGTAGTGTCCGTATGTGCTTTTCATCGTTCCAGGCGTTCCCAGCTTGCTCTCGAAGGCGTGTGCTCCATATCGATTCTCAGGGACCTGTCGTCGTGTATTCTTTTTGTTTATGAGGAGATCCCAGTATTCGTTAGTTGTTGTGATTCCACCTGGGAGTTTCAGTCCTATTCCCACAATGGCAATAGCTGGCGGTGCGCCGTCCATGGGCTCCATTGCCGGCATCTTCACATGGCTGCCTGTGATGTTCGTGTTCGGAGCCTGCTGCCGCGGCTGAACTCCTTTGGGGCTTGCCATGTTATCATATCCCCTGGTGCTCGCTATTTCGCCTTCAGTACATTGGCCGATCTCGTTGCAAAATTCCTTCCCGAAGGCGTGAGAGGAAGAAATGCTACCACAAGTAATGAGAGTACGCAGTTGTCAATCAGCATGCAAATTACAACTATGGAGAAGACTGGAATGAGTTTAGCTGTGAAAAGTGGCTATCTCTCCAACTGAATTGAAAGTAAATATACATGTATACGAGGTTTTCTGCCGTCCTATGCCGAGAGAAGGGACGCGTAGTATAGCATCTGAAAATGCCTGCAAGGAATGCACTGGCGGGAGTGGCATGGTTGCGGCTCTCCAGTTCACTTTTTCTGTTGATGATACTTTCTCTGGTGCGACATGTAACCTTTCTAGCAAAAGAGTGCGTTAGGCTACCTACTCTGATAGTCTGAGCATTGACTGGCCAATGCTCTAAGACAAGATGTGTTCGTGTCTCATCCATCCCTGGTTAGTACAATCCCCTCTATTTTGTGTAGCAACCAGTCCTCTCATCCCTCATGAAAGGGCATGATATATAGTCCAACAGCCGTTTTAAACTAAACGTGTCATTTCATTGGCTTTAAATGATGGTCATACGCAGGCAAATTTTAATTATACCCTTTTAACCTGCTCTCGGTAGATTAAATTATGCCTAGTTCTTTGCATATAAGCTATTGAAGCTCTAACCATGACAAGACCCTCCTTGACTGTTCGTCAGAGAGTATCTGGCCCCATGACTTCATAATTAACATTTTACATGTGGTAGAAATTCGACGGAAAAGAAGAAGAACCAGCCTCATCAAAGGTCTGCTGATAGTATTCCATAATGCTGATTGCTAATGGTACATGTAGCATTCCATTATCATGTCTAAGAGAGGATGCAGAAAAAATGTGCTCTCAACGCCACAATGCTTCTCCATCCATACATCGTGCTTTATAAAGTCTCCTACTGCCCTCTGAGACGTTGTGGCTGAGATCATTAGATGGTGGACTGTGCCCGGATGGACGTATGAGGCAAGGGGCAACGGACTGTTACGCCGATGGATTGTACACATTGGTCAACTGATCCTTACGCAAGACTCCCGGAATTTAAAGATGAACCCTGTGATGCCGTACTGAAAGCGAATATATACTTCTGAGCCTGTATTTCTGAAGATGGCATATATATTCCCTCATCCCATTGGAACAAGCACTTTTTTCGGAGGATGAAACTGTCTCGGAATTGTTGTTTAATAGAATGTTGACCTTGCGTGTGGCGGTTTCAACCCCATACCATGGATGCTACGACAGTGAAATCGTTGATGACGTGCACGAAGACTGAAAGGTCATCATATCAAAGCCCCGTAAAGAGTAGCGGCCGATGGATGCCGTTCTATTTTACAACTTGATTGGTCTTATCACCGAGTCATCGAGATCCGGGCCTCTCATGTGACATATAATAACTACGTATTATATGACAAGTCACTTGGTAGATAGTCTAGACCAAGCTTCAACTGCCCTGCTACGTGACATTGGAAAGAGAAAACGCATGCAAAAATGCCGTGGCTGGCATCTCATGACCCCGTAAGTCATGTTTCACAAGCGTACGATAAAACACGGCTTCCTTTTTATTCGCGAGATATTATTAGCAACATAGCGCACTGAAGCATTCGCCCAGACTGATATGTTTCATATGTTGCTCTCGTCGTTATTCATGCTGACGGCCCAAGTTCGAAAGCTCAACGAAAAGAGAGCACATGAGAGACAGGGAAGGTATTGATGAGTATAGTCACGCAAATGAATGGGGGTAGTAAACACTATGATTAGTATTGCGTAGAACATCAATATCGTTGCCTCTTTAACCGCAAAATCATTCATCATCCTCGCTGTCTTCGTCATCAGAAGATTGATACACATATACCTGTAGCACCTTTGGCAAGGCTTTTGCCCTACCTGTCTCAAACAAGTTCTTTGCCCGCTCCTTCATCTCACCTCGTTTCGTCTTACCACTAGCTGATTTAGGAAGTGCTTCAAGAAACTCGATGCCCCCAGCCAGGCGCTTATACTCGGATAACTCGCCATTGACAAAGTTGTGGATTTTTTGCTTAAGCACGCGCTCATCTTCATCCTTACCGGCGGGTGACCGTACGATAAAGGCGAGTGGCAGTTCGCCCGCGGAATCGTCTGGAATTGGGACGACACAAACATCCACAATGCAAGGGTGACGTGACAAGAGAGCTTCAACTTCCGTCGGAGAAATTTGCAGGCCCTTGATGAGTGTTAGTGGGCATACAAGATCCTGTGCACATGGAAGAAGATTGATCTATACTTACTCTGACCTTGATCATCTCCTTGACTCGATCGATGATGAAAAGATGCTCGTGTCCATCATCACTCTTGCGAAACTCCATCAGATCGCCTGTTCGTAGCCACCCATCGCTTGTAAACGTTTCTTTCGTTGCTTTCTCATTATCGAGATACCCCAGCATCACTGATGGCGACCGCAAAAGAAGTTCTCCAGGAGTGTCCAGCTCTGTCACCTCTTTGCCATCTCGGCTAATCAGTCGGCCCTCGTAGCCAGGGAAAATATGACCACAGGAGCCAAACATGACGTCTGCCTTGTTTTGCATAGATACAGCGACAGAAGTCTCGGTGAGTCCATATCCTTGAATGAGCTGACATTTAGGGAATTGGCGAGCAAACTGTTCATGTACCTCTTTTGTGAGATTGGAGGCACCAACTACAGTTGTCTTGACATGTTCGAGGTTATATCTCGCGGTGATGGCAGAGTTCTTGATCAGAGCAACTATCATGGGAGGTACCTATCATCCAGTACTTTAGTACCAGATCATTTGCGGTTTATAAAACCCAGAGTAATTGCATATGGGGGCGGCGTCGGCGGCATCTTACCATCCAAAGTGTCTCTATGGAATGCTTCTGTACGGCCTCTAGGACGTCAACAAGATCAAATCCCGGCAGTACGACTGCATTGTAGCCTCGATATACACCATAGTGTCCAGTAACGATCAAAGAGTAGCTGTGACTCATGGGAAGCACAGCTAGGAGTGACTCTGGCTTCCCACTCTTGTAGTTGGATTCATATGTCCTTATCTGTAGCACATTCGCGATAACATTCTTGTGCGAGATCATGACATTTTTCTGAGACACAACTGTCAGTCATTATAAAAGAATTGTCAAGCAATCGAGCGCAAGCTCACCGGTAATCCAGATGTTCCGCTAGAGGAGCATAAAAATGCAGTTTGGCGGGCACCTTGCCCCTGCTCCCATTTCAGCTGCGGCAATGGAGGCAGCATCTTTCCCTCAGCAATCAGTTGGTCGACCGACTTCATATCAGTTGGGATTATGGCACCTTTTAGTGCCTTGTCTGGAATTTCCAACAGATATACGTGCGTCTTGGGGAGATTCGCCGCAGACGCCGCCTCAAGAGCGGTAGGGAGAAGCGTCGCACACGTAAATAGAGCCTTGCATTTAACTGCCTTGAGCTGTCTTGCGAGTTCAGCAGCGGAATATGAAGGGCTTATAGGTGATGACACTCCTGAGAAGCGATAAGCAGCCCAGGAGACAGTCATTGTGTCTATCTATGGGAGGTGTAGATGCGTTTAGTTGTGTGACCATTGCCCAAGAAATCGTTGATGCATACCGTGTTGACGCTGAACAGCCCTATGACCTTATCAAATTCGCTCCCACCGTTGACCTCAAATCCCAACTCTGATGATAGTGCAGCTGAAAGCCATTCTATTCGATTCTTCGCCTCGGCGACGGAATACGACTTCCCAGTAATGCCACAGGTAAATGGCGGGCGAGAATCTGCAATCGGATACCGGCCGTACTTGTCTCCATCGGTAAAGAGGAATTCATGGATAGGTACTGAGTCCGGGGGGGCAAATGGCAATTTGTGGATGTAGGATGGAGTAGTAAACGGCATGGTGAATGCAAAAAGCGAAAGTGTGTAGATGTATCTATCGTGTTGAGCAGTGTCCACTAGAATGGCGATCCGCTGTACTTGGAAGATGCGAGGATACAAATACAGATCTTGGACTTATAAATTAAGTTTGGCAGACAGGACAGCACAAATGCAGCCGCCCTTGTTACGTCTTCATACGAGGGTGCCAGTAGGAGATTAAGAAGCCCACATGACTTGCTACATGAAACCAAATAGCATCTCTGTATTTAAGACATGATACGAAGCCTGTGTCTAGGGTGTCTAATGTCTCAAATCTCTCCCTGCCACACACGAGTTGCTATACGAAGCGAACTAACAAAAACAACAATCAAACGTAGAGATCATTGCTACATACAATAAGAACATGCTCCAGGTGTGAAGTTGCATGACAACACTCCGAATTGCCTAGCTGAGGGCGAATGAAAGACCTCCCTTTGCAAGAAGCCCTCAAAAGTTAATGCGACTTCCATTTTATCAAGTTGGACATTTCCAAAAGATTACTCATATAGCCTAAAGACGACAGGCATCTCCCATCATGGCAATCTTCCAAAAGTGACCCTCCTAGGGCTGCTTATGATCGGAAGTCATACTGCATCGTTGAGGGAAATTGCTATTGGCTCAAGGATAATATTTTGCTGTCTTAATGCGATAGCTTGAATATGACATGTAATACCAAACACGTACCACCTGCGGGATGACATGTTCCGTTGAAGAAAACCCAGAATTCCATTAATAGAGGCGGATCGGGGCACTCAACACCATATCCTATCCGACGCCATCCTGCCCTACGTCGGCGATTTATCAATTGGACTAGAAAAACAAAATATGCCGCAATTGTTCTTGAGCACACCATCGAAATGCTCCAGAACTACTACCCAACACCATAGACGGTAAAAAACTGGCCCTTCTCCAACCTCACGCCCAATACATATTGTTCTCCTCTAGCGCCCCCATTCGTCCCCGTCTGAACAATCCCCAAAGATGCGGGGACCCAGCCAATTGTCAGACGCACCAACCCGTTGCCAACGGCAAATCTTACCCTCTACCGCACCTGGTGCGACTGCGCTTGGGGTCAAGAGGTCAGAGATGGCGGGCGACTACTGGATGGTGGCGTTGATCAAACTGTGGATTGTTCGGCATTCCAAGATGCGGGGGAAAAGTATATATATATCAGACAGGCTGAAATTGGGCATTGGCAGAATCTAGAGCTTTGGATTCCTCGTTGAGATTGTCGTTCTCTGATGCTACGTCGATCAACCCAATCTCTACATACTACTATCACGTCTTGAACAACACCACCTATTACACAGAGATGGACCAGTCACTAAAGATGGGCGAGCCTTCGTCATACACGCAGAATCCATCCAAGGGCCATCTTTTTGACCAGACGAAACACCATCATCACCATCAACAGCAAGAGCAGCAGCATCACGAGGGATTGAGCAGCAGCCCCGAGAGGGAAGCCTATCTCGAACGAAGAAGCAGCAATGATTCCGCATCGCGACGAATCAGCATGTCCCGACCCTGCCACTCGGGATCCGGATTCTTGGGCACGATGCGATGATTGCGAAATCGGCTTCAAGTACAATGTTGCTATAGGAGAGGATTGTTTCTTTGGGGGGTTTCTTTGGGCGCACATACTTGTACACGTACATGTGCCATGATATTGAGAAGTATCCGGGTTTAAGCAGACGATGATGTCAGTGACGACGATGTGGGGGAATAAAGAACAAGGATCTGGGCCAAGTTTGTTCTACGCAAGTGAGAGCGTCCGGGATTTGGCGCTTTAGGGCAACGGTCGGCTTTAGGGCAATTGGATGGATGTGATACGGGATTGAACCGGAGTGTTTTGTACGGACCAGAGATGCTATTATGCATTTCCTTTGGATGGGATTGATTTGCGGCGTGGATTTGGTATCGCAAATGTCTTTTGATGGGTGAGCCGAGTACATGTATAGATGAACATGTAAATGAACCAACCAATCAATACATGGCAGAAACACATGAAAAGAAGAGGCTACATGCACTCTATGCTGTGTACATGTGACCATGCATATATAAAGTCATCACTACATACCTATACTCTAAGAACCATCATATCCTCCCTCCAAGGCGCGTCGTCCACACAGCATATCCAACATAGCCCACAGCCGCGATAACCGCCATCTTACCAGCTCCCACGAGCATGTTATCCCGTGCCCGCCGCAATGCCCGAGCCCTGCTCTTCAGCGTGTTCTTCTGGAACGTCTCGCGGTCGTTGGCATGGGGAAACGGCGCCTCCACTTCTCCCGTCCGTTCATCCTTAACCATCGGTACGGGAACCTCGAGATACTCGCACAGCGGGCCCCAGCCATCCTGTACCTTGTACTCGAAGCGGCGCGCCTCGGGAATCTCATCGCGGAAGCGCTTGTACACGCCCGTGTACCAGGCAATGGCCTTGTCCTTTTCATTCCGGTGATTGTACCGAAAGGCGAGCCCGGACATGGCCATGCCGAAGCGGGCAAACGCGCGTGACGCCGGGTCAAAGACGAAGCAGAAGAGCATCTGCAGCTTGACCCAAGGCGACGCCGGTTGCGCCGCCGTAATGACAGACTCCAGGGTGCTGTAGTACCACGATTCCGGATCGCGGTTCAGGATGATGACTTTGGCTTCTGGATACAGCGCCGCGAGCTCGACGCCGAAGAGCGCCGCGGGAACATCGACGCAGGCTTGCGAGTTGCCCAGCACCTTGTCAAAGTCGGCCCTGGTGACGGTGCCTTTCCCGTCATACCGGGCCTCGATGAGACGGACCCATTGCGGGCATTCCTGCTCAGGGTTCTCAAGGAGGTTGTGCATGTGATAGCAGTCGTTGAAGCCCAGCTGTTTGAGAGCCAGTCTCACACCTTGTGCAGATAGTGTTAGAGGTTTGAAAGAATCCGGAAGAGATGAGACTTACTCAATGTTCCTGTTCGTTGCACGCCGCAGACGATGACGCGCATCGGAACGACACGATCTGGCGTTGTCATGGCGAATTGTGGTTTCCCAAGTGATTTACTAATTAGAAAAATGAATCAAAAAATTCAACAAGGGGAAGAGTGTGATTAAGAGCTGTGATGAGCAAGGATTTGGTGATGACGGGCGTTTAGTAAAAGGCCCATCACATTGTCTCACCTAGATCCCACCTCACAAATCCCTGCTGCGACTAGCATCTCGATGCCATCTCCGGAGCTATACTACTGTACAGTGCAGTATGTCGCCCGGTCCACTCTCAGATAGAAGCTACCAAATCCGCGATGCCCAAGCAGCAAAAGGTAAAGCGCCGCTCTAGGCGTTGTAATTCCTGGAAATACAACAACTTACAAATGAAGGTCATGGTGTTGCCGCTGCTGCTGACAAGGCTGTATTACCAAGGTTTGTGTCTCGCGGCGTCTGGTCTTTGTATCACTTTACAAAACCACGGAGAAAATGGAGATTGCTGTTTCGTGGTCAGCATGTGACGGAAGCTCTACTCTCTCATGTTTTCCTTTTCTTTCTTGGTCCATGGAAGATTGGAGTATCGCCGCCCGAGGACCGATAGCCCGGCCCGGCGAAGCGTATGGCGTGGCTCCAGAAGATGGATGCATTTTCCCATGGAAAACTATGAAATAATTACATGGTTTATTGCCATTGATACAAGTTGTTCATGAATACCTGGTCTAGATTACAATTACTGATTACTTACATGTCATTTTGAGGATGACCCATCTGGTTCAAGTGCTTTTATGACTCATCCAGCAACAATTCTATGGGAAAGCATGGACATTTATTCCTCAGGCGAGGCTTCTTTATTCCATGACTCTGTATTTGAGCCTTGTTTCTATGTATCTAAACATTTCAACTGCAACCTGGAATAGTCTTGGGTATCAGCCACCTTCGATGTATACCACGCATAGGTAGGTAGGTATGTAGGGAATCTACGTTTTACGCATCGTCCGTAGCATCAAAAGAGGTAGACAAGCCACCTTCAAGCATTGATGTCTATTTCTCATCGTTTTAGCCATATGTCCGGCCTTTGATTTTTTTGTATCTTGCATTCTCCTCATGCAATTCGCTTATACGCCATGACATCCCACGACAGGCCTCGTCACACGGAGGCAGTCTCGAATAGATTACAAGGTATGATTTGGGCTGGTGTCCTTTTTTTCACAGTAATTTCTTGGTTTCCCCAACTCCCATCCCGGGTATAACTCCATCCATCCAATTGCTCATGCCTTTCGTCGCTTTCCACCCTCTGCGGCTTCAGCCCCCGTAGACGAGCCGCTGTTCGCGGCAAGAATCGCATCCAAAAGCTCCGGGTTCGCATTCAGCATGTCCTGAGATTCCGACTTGATGCGCTTAGGGTCCAGCTTGCCGACTACAGGAACCGCAGTGGCGAGGATCTGCTGGAAAGGAGCAGCGACAAAGTAGCCGCTCTCGTCGAAGAAGGAGGCAAATGGCTTGGCCACCTCGATGATCCGTGACTTGGCAGACTTGTCCGTGACGGTGATGCTGAGTTTGTACGTAGGGTCCAGCTTCTTCGTTGCGCTGGCTACTGTGATCTGCACGTTTCTCTCGTCAGCTCTTGCGCTCCCCGTCGCCGCTGGATTGGCCATTGCCGCTGCATACCTTTTCTCCCGATGGCGTGATTCCCTGATATATAACACCCTTCTCCACAAACATCATCCAGAATGTCAAGACACCGTTTAGAACGGTGTAGACGGCCACTGCGATGGCTGTGTAGAACTTGGTGTCCTCAAAGCCCAGCTTGTAGTCCCACGCGAAACAAGCGGCAGCGATGAGGAATGCGCTGTACCCGAGCCCTAGCCGTACATCGCTGAGGAAGTGTGTCTGCTTGATTTTTAGGGAGTTGAGGTAGTTGGGGATCGCATCGTCGGTCGTGTTCTTTAGATCTACAGCCACGGTGTCAGAGCAAGGCGTGATCGAACCAGTGGCGACACGCCGCAGCAAGAATAGCCCAGCTCAACTTACCTGCGAGATTATATAGAGAAATCTTTTCCGCGGCCATGGTTGCGCTATAGTCCTGGAGATTGAATCGCCAGATGTGATCAAAACAACGGAACGCTGTTGTTGTTGGTTCAAGTTATGGCTGAGGTGGCCTGTAGTTTGACTTCAATGGACGCTTCGCTGTAAGCTGCCAGTAACGAGCTGCTACAGTACACATATGCACTAAGATCGTGGGGTTCTGCCGAGTTCAATTGGCCAGCACAGAGCTCAGTGCGCCGAAATGTGGGGCTGCCGGCTGCCGGCGGTAGGATACTCCGTAGTAGAGCTGCTGCTGTTGCATCTTCCACCTCAGCATCTTCTTATGAGCTCATGGATCGCATAATCTCCCCCTCCATCGCAGCATCGTTGCCCACCGCCGAGGCCGCACGACTTTGAATACAGCATCGCATTAGCTCCAAGTGCGGCTGAAAAGCTCAACGATCCCGTCATGGCGCAATTACCGGCTCAGACTCTGCATAGGGATCCCCAGCTCTTGTTCGTGTCCTCAGTTACAGCTCCGGCGGGCAGAAGACGAGACGGCTAACATGGCGCTTCCACGCATAGCTACTGGATCCTGATTCCCATCACCGTTGTCATGGTCCTGACTGGTGTTCTCCGCCACTACGCATCCGTGCTCATGACCACAACCCCGAAGAAGGCCGACATCAAAGCCATCCGCGAGCAGCGTGCTCTCGCTCACGGTGCCTCTCTAAGGACAAACTACCACGTTCTGTCGCGCAAGGCATTTGAGACTCGACGTGATTTCCTGATTGAAGGATTCGAATCTGGCGCCTACCTCAAGGCACCGCAGCAAAAGGGCCAGCCTCCGGCCAACCCCATGTCGGACCCCAACGCCATGGAGGGCATGATGGGCATGATGAAGAACAACATGGCCATGATCATCCCCAACACCTTGATTATGAGCTGGATCAATGCTTTCTTCAGCGGATATGTCATTAGTATGTCACCGTCGCAGTGCTTGCTTGTCATTTGCCAGTGCTGACCGCATCTAGTGAAATTGCCATTCCCCATCACTATCAAGTTCAAGAGCATGCTCCAGGCGGGTGTTCTGACCAAGGACATGGACCCGCGGTGGATGTCCAGCATCAGTTGGTACTTCTTGTGTATCTTTGGTCTCCAATTTGTCTATGTGTTCCTCCTTGGAAGTGACAACGGTAAGCATACAAATACCATCCACCCTGTGTCAAATTATAATAGAATATCTTCTAATGAGTCACCAGCTGCGAGCCAAATTGCTCAGCAAATGCAGCAACAACAGATGCCCGTTGGCCCCATGGCCCCCGGCCAGGATCCCCACAAGATGTTCAAGGCCGAAGCCGAAAACTTGGCCGTCATTGAGCACTATTCCGTCCTGGACGGCATCGAGGAGCGACTGCTGGAGAGGATCAAGGTGTAAAATTTTGTAGACCCGGTAGTATGGAAATATAATCATTAATACATTGCGCTCTTCAAACGCCTCTAAAAAAAAATATCCAATCAGGCACCATCCCACCATAGACACACACCAAGACCCTCAGCAGCCATGCTGCCTTTGATCTTATAAGGCGTCTTTGCTGGTGTGTCTTCTGCTTGACTGGGGCCGGCTGGAGTCTGGTCGTGCCATTCTTCGTCGATGACCTGGAAACGGACCATTTCGTGATTGTCGTAAAACAGGCGCTCTTCATCAAAGTTCCATATCCAAATCTGTTCGCTGTGATTGCTATCCCCGGTGTTAGCTCTTATCGCCTTGGGTGATTGAATCCGTTGGTAGACTCACTATTCAGCCCCCTGCGGAAGCTCTTCGTATGGGATAAAGATGTCGTCGAAGAAGTCTGTTCTCAGATGGATTCCGGAAGGTGTTGAACTGCGTATCCTGCCAAGCATGACCTCTCCTTTGAAAGGTCTGAATACTATCATGCGAAACTCGACTGTCGTTGTGTAAGCAAGCTGAATCGCCTGGAGAAGAGCAAGGTTGCTTACCATTGACATTGACAAGACCTGTGCCGTGGCCTATCAAGCCTTCAGACGTCCATAAGACATCATACAGGGAGATGCACAGTCCAATTTTTTGAACGACCTGTGCCGAAGTGGTTAGTCATTGCTGAGCTTCGGGATCCGATAAAAGAGTGTCATAGACCAACCTTGTTTGCGTATTTGGCATTGATATTGTCCTCGATTGCTACAATGCTGTGCTTCGAAAAGTCCTCGGGTGAGATCTGCACCAGATCGGAGAATTTGGTCTGTGACTCGGCAAATTAGAAGCGGCGTCTATGAGATGGAATGAAGTGAATCGAGAGCACCAGCGACGTACCAGGATGAACATGATGGCAGGATTTCAAGAGATTAGCCGCCTCTTCAGCTGTGTTTCATGAGCGTCGATAAGAATGAGAAGAAGAAACCATCACGGATGAGGCGCCGTCATATCATAGCATGCATCTCTGTGGTCACCAAGAATAAAGTGATGTATGTATGTAGCAGCTCACCGGCAGCTGAAGCAGTTGTACATCATCTCGAATCTGGCAGTAAAAAGTTAGAAAATCGGCGAAACAGTTGCTAAACCACAGTGAGCTAGTCCTGTTGCGGCTAGTCCCCCTGGACTTGACACCACTCGCCGTCTCACCGCCTGCTTACAACAGCCTAGCGGCCCCTGCCCAACAGCACTTCATTTTCCCAGAAAGTCAGACATCGTGGAACTTTCCGTCCAAACCTCCATCTCAGAAGCACCTGCGCGGCGTCTGAAGGCCCCAACGCCGCCCGTCTCGATTATCTGGCAGTGGCATTGCGTCGAGGACAGCGATCCTGCGGCATCCGTCTCTTGTTTTGATTTACTTCCTCGTTGTTGTTGTTCGAATTCCTCCCTCCCGCACCCAACGCTCTCTGTCGAAGCCGAGAAGTCTCGAAGTCCGACGCTCACCGTCTCCTGTCTTGATTGACCCTTTTTTGCTTCAACATCATAGCAAACCCGATACTGTGCCGAATTGGTTGATCAGATCTCCAAGCATCAAGCAGAAACCAAAACCCAAAAAAACCCCTCCTGCCGGCAGTGTACTGTCTGCACATGAATTTGTGAACAATGTCGACGTACAACTACGCACCTCCTCCCCCTCCGCCCCCTACTTCTGGCGGCGCCAGCTACGGACAGTCGAATTCGACTCCCTACGGCCAGAATCGCGGCGGCGGATCGGGCAGCCGTCGGGGTGGCCACTACCACGGGGGTCGTGGCGACTATCATAGCTCGCAGCCGCGGTATGAATACACTGGGCAGCCATACCCTGCCCAACACGCAGTGCCGTACGGCAGCTCCCATCCTCCAGCGAATGGCTATCCAGCTCCTCAGCCGCAGTGGACTCCAGAGCACGGCCATGCTCCTACACACCACGCCCACCCTCATGCTCCTGTTCCGCTCTCTGCGTCGAATTACCATCCAAACTACGCTCCTCAGCCATATCCCCCGTCTCAGTACCCCCAGCAGACTGCATATCCCGCCCCTCAACCTTACCCCTATCAAGCCCCCCCTCCTCCCCCGAATCAGCCCCAGTGGAACAGTCAAGGAGCTCCCCAGGCATTCGGGGGCGGTAGCAGAGGTCGTGGAGGCTACGGCGACCGTGGAGGCCACAAGCCATCTCATGGAGCACCTCCTGTCCGTCACGGCCATGAGTACGATGCGGCACCGCCTCCGATGATTAGCGGTTTCCCTCAGCAGTACCCTCCTGATCCTCGAGTTGCTCATTATCCTCCGCCGCAATATGCTTACGCAGCACCTCCACCACCCCCCACCACCTCTCGCCACCAAGATGCCTCACATAACCAGTACTCTCGTCGAGGGCGTGGTGGGCATAGAGACGGTAACAAGGGGCGGGGTGGCCATCATTCCCATCACCATCATGGAGCCGGTGAAAAGTCACGCCCGCCAAAGCCACCGAGTAACAACGTTGTTGACAGTGCCGCAAAGCCCGACAAGCCCGAATCTCCCTCGGCCGGCAAGAAGAAGAAGAGAAAGACCAACACCCTGGGCTTGACCCCCGGAGTTGATTCGGAAACAGAAGATGACGAGGGAGAAGAGAAGACACTCACTGAGCTCATCGGTCAAGAAGCCCTCAAGTAAGTAACACACTGACTAATTTTGTACAATCCTGTGTCGTTATTAACCGAATTCCTCTGGTTCAGCATTAGCGATGTTGCGGCCTTCATTGCAGAGCGAAAGAAGAAGTTTCCCACCAGAGCGCGCGTCGAAGCCAAAAAGGCCGCCGAGTTGGCGCAAAGAGAAGAGGACAAGGCTGCCTCTCTGGAGAAGGAGGCTGATAGACTGAGGAAGCAGCTGCGCAAAGTCGAGTTTTCCATCAAAAGGAAGCGAGAGCAGGGTGACGAGGGTGACGAGATGCGAGATCCCTCTGAAGACTCCTCGGACGATGAGCCAGAAGTCATGTCTAGCCGTACCAAAACGGTGCCTACTCCTCCTCCCTCGGCCAACAAGGCTGATATTACCAGACACTGCAAATATTTCTCTACCGGTGGAACTTGCGGGAAGAAGGGCAAGTGCCGCTTCGTCCATGATCCCCAAGCCAGGGAAGCGGCCATCAAAGAACGCGAGGCCAATAACGGTCGTTTAACTATCCAGCAGCGGCTGATTCTAAACGACAAGGAGCAAGAAGACTTGGCTGTCCTCCAGTCGATCCAGTATCTTCGCGAAAAGGGCCTCATGAACACCCCTGGCGCGTCAGCGGCGGACCAGGCCAGCGGCGAAGAAAAGCGCACGCTCGCATCCACCTCTATACCAGCTTCTACATCCACACCTGCTTCAACGTCTGCGCCTGCTTCTGTTTCTGCTTCCACACTGCCACCCTCTACGTCTTCCCTTCCTGCTATCCCTCCGCAGCCTGCCAAGAGGGAACCGCCTCGCAGAAGCAACCCGCCTCCCTCCATCATACCCTCCGCTAATAGTATCAGCGGCCAGGGGGTAAGGCACTATCAAGGTTGGCTCCTCAAGCCATACGGCAGCTCAAGTGGCAAGCAATCACAGAGCGACGATCTTCCTTGATCCCACCGTTTGGGTCTGCACACACACGCATATATATATTTCCCCTCTTTTCTCAAAATGTTGAAACCAGTCAATGTTTACTTGAACACTTGAAACCTCGCAACTACGAAGCCTGTGGTCGCTCTCTTTTATTCTATCTTGTTGTTTCCGGAATATACATGCTTGCTCGACAGAGGAAAAAAAATATCATTGGACGGCGTTACTTCACTATTTCTTCTTTTTGCAAGTGTAACAAAGGGGGCGTCAATGGCTGTTGCGTCACTCCAGGCTTGACGCTCTAGGAGATGATGCTTCCCTTCAGCTTGGATATCGGTAGCACATCATCATCACCTGTTCATGCTTGAATGCTCGCATGACTTGCAAACAACACTCACATAATGCCCGACTCACAGGGTATCTTGTGGGTTTTGGCGAGGAGCAAGAGGTCATCTGCCTTCACGACTAATGACGTTTCTTACAATTGACTGTTTATAGGATTCAGATTGACTTGGTCGAAAAAAAACGTAACCGTACAAGGGACCAACTTGGTTGATACTATTACTGCATAGCTAGGTGGAACAAGAAAAAAAAGACGGCTTTATTAGAATTGTGGTTATATACTTTCTTCTTCTTTTTCTTCTTTTTTATTGTTTCTCGGATGTAAGGGGCGACTGGGAATTTGTTACATAGGCTTCATACTAGGTTACGGTAGTCAATAAGACTTGTTTTGTTTCTGCTTGGATTGGTATATATCAAAGCATCATTTGACAATTATAAACGCGTTGACTTTCCCTGTCAAAAAAAACAAAAGAGCTAGCTATCCTCACATAATTGTCCGAACCAGGACACTTGGGAGTTAGTTTCCTATATCTACGCCATACAATGCAAATTCCAACCCTTTAAACACCGCTGACAGAAACACCCAAAGCGAAAGCGAAAAAGAAGAGGCAAGAAGAAAAAGAGGACATAAACAGAAGCAAAAAGGGGAAAAAACGGACGGGGGAAGCCAGAAATAGTCCACAAGTCTGGGGGGGAAGTAGCGCAGACTTTTGATAAATAAAACTCCGTCGCTAATGACCTGAAACGGTAGACACACGGTAACCACTTCTGCTGCATCGCTGCCAACTCACTTTCTTTCCTCATGCTTCCTTTCTTTCTTTCTCCTCCACGCTGCCAACTCAATCCCCCAACTCCACTCATCCACTTCCCCAAGTTCACAATGAAGCGACCCGTTTTCGAGAATTACGCGAATTACCCAGTGTCCAAAAGAGTCGGGAGTCGTGAGAAGAAGAAAAAACGAGCTGAGCGTCTTCCAAAGGCATGGCACAGCTAAAGGGGCGGAACTTTCACGTTCCCTTCCTTTAGCGTCGATTAGCCCGCAAGGATTCGAGGGCTTTACGCTTCCTCTCTTCCTTTTCCCTCTTTAGCGATTTCTCAAGCTGTTCCTCCTGCAAATCTTCACGGCGAGCAATTCGCTCTGCCATTCGTTCTTCATCATCAATGTCGTCCAGGCCAGCTTCCATGTCCGATGAAGCATCAGATGCATAACCATAGCGTTGACCTTCGTCTTCTTCGTCATCATAATCGATGAAGTCGTCCATGTCCTCGTCATAGTCATCTTCAAACCGTGATCGTCGGGATGTGCCGGACCTGGGAGGAGGGGCATTGAGCAGGGCACCCCCACGTGGAGCGCTGCCTTTCTTCGATACAGCGCCCGGCTTGGGGCGAGCTGTTCCGGTGTAACCGGTGGTTGCCACTGCAGCCTTTTTCATTTTCTTTTCCGGCTCGGGGGCTTTTCTTGAAGATGCCATGCTCTTGGCTGTGGGTCGTGACGCCGCACCGTTCCGGTCAGCTTTCGATGAAGCATTCCCGTTGGTGCCATTGCGCTGTACCGGCTTTGACGATCCTTTGTAGCCAGCAGGCTGCTTCTTGCCCTGAGCGCCCGACGGTGCACCCTTCACATCGCCCTTCTCCTTTTCCCTCTTGATGGCTCCTTTCTCAACTTTCTTATGTTGAATTTTGCCGACTTGGCCCATCACGGCCTGTGCCCGTTGGGCTCGAGCAAGAATTTCGGCATAGGAGCCCTTCTTCGGAGGAGCTTTGGGCTTGCCTGAGTCGACTGGGGGCGGGGGTGGTCTGCTAGCAACAACTGGCTTTGCTGGTCGACTAGCAATATTTACCGGCTTTGAAGGGATCGGAGTCGCTCTCGGTAAAGTGGCGGTCAGGGGCCGCTGGGGCACCTTTGCCGGCTCTGCGAAGAGACGCGGTGTCTTGGAGTCATTCCTGGGAAGATCATCATCTGCCTTTCGTTTGATAGAAACGCTGGGAATTCGTTGAATAGCGGGCGCAGGGCTGTCCGAGGACTTTCCACCGCTGATTTGGGCCAAGAGATCCCCGATCTGGTAATCCGCATTAGCTACCGCGGCTGCTGATGCCCAAGCTTGGCTGGGAAAAGAATGGGGGGAAAGCGGCGACTTACCGGCATCGTGTCTGTCTTGAGATCTGTACTTGCTTCAAAATCGTGAAATGTTCCAGCGAAATCTTTCACGTAGCCCTCTTGAGATGATTACACGCCGTGCTTCATGGATGAAGTTGCTCCTCCGCTCATCTAGCGAAAGAGGAAGCGAGTCGGCGCCGAAGCACGCTCCCCTCACGCAAAGAAACAAAGGGCCCTTGAAAGGGTGCTTATCGAATGGTCGTGCGCGCGCTTCGAGACGATCGGCGGGAAATTCCGAGACAAAGATGTTGTGAGAGATGGATAAGATATGCAAAGCTCCTATCGGCAGAGACGAGCGAGATAGAGATGATGTTTTTTTTTTGTTCAACAAGTTTGCATGGCACGTCAAGAGAAAAAGCGTAAGGTGAGAGGCTGGCCAGCGCACCTTTTGCCGGTAGAGCTACGGATGGAAAATCATTGGCGCCACACTGCCGGGGAGGAGGTCAAGATGCACGTGACGCATCTGTGGCGGTGCGATAAGGATGATGATAAGGAATTTTGGGGCTGGACTCCACGCCCTAAAGCGGATCGCCCTTTCGCCTAAGCTTCGATTTTTAGCGCCCACAGATGTAAAATGCCCTGCAACTTCTAGAGCGGGAACTTTTTTTCTACTTTTGTTCCGACAACTAGCCATCAAACCACCAGAACTCGAAGGCTTCAGTCTCCGCCCAACTTGCGGTTAAAGTGATTGATTTCTCGTGTTCCTCTTGAACCTCTTAAACGTGAGTGCTTCTCTATTCCCTATATCTCCCTTCTGTGGAAGCTGCAGCAATTCGATCAGCTGGAAATCAGACATTGTCGTCTCTTTTCGTCGACCTGCAGCGTTTCACCGTGTGGGAAGAAAATATACAGACCAGGGTTCCTAACAAAATCTTTCTTTTGCAGCAACTTTCAAAATGAAGCACCTCGCAGCTTACCTCCTGCTCAACCTCGGCGGCAACGCCTCCCCCTCTGCTGCGGACATCAAGACCGTCCTCAGCTCCGTCGGCATTGAGGCCGAGGATGAGCGTCTCGAGAAGCTCATCTCTGAGCTCTCTGGCAAGGACGTCAACGAGGTATGGGCACTATCTTCTGAGTGAAAACTTTTCCTTTCTCAGGCAATGCAACTAACATTCTTTTCCCTCTTCTAGCTGATCGCTGCCGGCTCTGAGAAGCTCGCTTCCGTTCCCTCTGGCGGTGCTGGCGGTGCTGCTGCTGCTGGTGGCGCCGCCGCCGGTGGTGCTGCCGCCGCTGAGGAGAAGGCCGAGGAGAAGGAGGAGGAGAAGGAGGAGTCCGACGAGGATATGGGCTTCGGTCTCTTCGACTAAGCGGTCTATTTATAAAGATCTGCAAAGTTACGACCCTCTACGAATTTCGGAAAAGTTACGAGCATGTTGTGCGGTTAATCTAGCATGGCTCTGGTGTCGTGGGAGGATTGACTGCTCATGGCTGGCATGGCGGCCTTCATCAGCTGACATAGAAAGTCCAATCGTGAAATTGACGACTTGCCATTTTTCGAATACTTGTTCCTCTCATTTTGAATTGTGTGATGGTGTCGATGTGACCGGGCCGTAGCTGAGCAGACGGGGCAATGCCATTCCTTTGCTCTCCATGTGAAATTTGCCAGTTACTACGAAGCCAGGGAATAGGGATCTCGATATCTAGAAAGTAGCTGGTCCATAATATTGTAATCCATCTTGGTTCTAGTATTTTGATCCAACCAATGCGTCCAAGACGCACGAAGTCGACTACCCTGTACCCAGGAGGCCACCAAGGAGACAGCAGCAATAGAGCATTCAACTACGTGATGATGATGGGAGATGACGTGCAAATAATATGATGCAGCAATTCAACAAGAGCAAATAGTTGTAATATGCAAAGCAAGGGGTGAACATGCTGGTAAAATGTGGTTCAAATAAAGCATAACAGGCTGTAGTTCCATCCATACCAAGTATCAGTTTTGCCCAAAGAATAAGCTCGCTCCTGAATCCATACCACAAGCACGTCCAATCTACCAACAATAAACGCAAATCAACATTAATCATGACTTTTTTTTTTAAACATCCAGGTCTCATTCACGAGCCTGGTTTCTCCGGTCGATACCCCGACTCAGACGGAGCCCACGAAAACACAGCGTTTCTCCTGGTTGAATCCGACTCCTCAGATGGAGGTAAAGGCGAATCATCCGAGTCAATAGACATGGGTTGTTCAGCAGGCTGCTGAGATAAACATGGAGGGCTGCTTTAAACATATACATGTCAGTTACAGCGACAAAAAAAAAAGACTGCCTGCAATGGTAGGAACAAACTTACTGAGGTGATAGCGTAGTGCTCCCTTCCAACTCCCTCGCTCCAGGCATCATTGGAGGAGGACGAGAATGATACGGCGCAGTCTCCGGCGCAGAAAGCTCTCCTATAACCTCGTTTGCGGCATCAAGTTCAACCGGTGTCGCCTCTCCCTGGTCATCGACTTTCGGGCTTTCCAGCGGCTCAGCCTGCTTCTTCCGCGATTTACACCCCATCGCCCTCAGAGCGATGTGAGACAAAACCCACACTAGCTGAAAGAGAAACAGAGGCATGCAGCAGACCCAATTACAGCGAGAGGAAAAGTGAGGATTGTAAGCGGGGAAATCATTCAAAGGTGGTTCATCCCCCATAGAGTATAACAGGAGGCCGATGACAACAAGGGTACCTATAACGGTGATACCTATGAGTGCGCCCGTTGACAGGTTTTTGGAAGATGATCGTGGGGAGGCATCTGATTGCTCAAGAGCCGAGGCTGCTGAAGGTGTAGAAGTCGCCGTGACTGCCAGAGATGAAGGCGAATCGATAGTTGTTTCTCGCGGTATAGTATGAGTTATGAACGTCGTAAGCAGTGGAGTATACGAGAATTCCTGGTTTACCGGTTCAGGTTTTGGTATGAATCCCGGTAGAGGGACATGAGCAGCAGGATGAGGAGGCGGAGGATGAGGATGAGACGAAGGCGTGGGAGAAAGAGATGGTATTTCCGAAAGTGATGTTGATGTCTTGACAGGATCTGTGAATCTTGGTTATTACCCTCGCTCTACGCTGCTCAATCTCCGCCATGAGTACATACCTGTAGGCGTCACCGTTTCATCATATATCAATATAGTTGTCGTCATGTATATAGGCTCGAGAGTCTCCGGCACCGTCACCGTCACACTTCCCAAGATCTTTTCGCCACACACTGCCCACACCAACAGCAAGATTCGAAGACACCGCATCATGGCACAGAAATATGTGTCTCTTCTCGTCAAAATCACCACATGGTGTTGTTCACAAACATACCGCAAAACACCACTGATAGAAAAGAGCGAGAGCAAAAGATGGGAACTTAAAGGTTTTGTAGCTTTGGTTCTAATATTAGGTCTGAAAGACAAACAGCCTTTGCACTGCCGGATACAGGTCACATTTGACAAAGGCATCAAAGGGACGGCACTTGGTGACACGGGATGCAAAGGCCAGTATGCGGCCCTGCATGAACTTGGCAAGAGGGCTGTGAAGAGCGAGGGAGGGAGCCGGATTCGGACGTGAGAGGAGTGTCGTTAGTTTGTAGGGGACTCTGCAAGTGAAATGGCACGAATACTTGTCTTTCGAGTTTGATAATTAACGAATCGTCTATGGAGGATCTATGAGGTTTTCATCGACCAACTCTTTGGTCTATGGTCCCTCTCTTCTAATGGAGCTTTTTTGCTTCCATCAATACCTAACCGCCGCTGCCTGTGTGTTGCCGGAGTTGAACGGGGCATAAAATCCAACATGCATACTCTATCTCTAGTGGCGAACATCTCTTATGCCCAACGCATCTCTCCCACCAGGCAGCTGCTCTAGACCAACGTCATCCAATGTCGACGGGATGTGTAGAGCTTATGAGGGGGTCGGCTTGTTTCATCTCAACTATCACGGGACACTCGTATAACCATCTCTACTGCGTCTTCGCCTTAGCCTTTGGAGTGCCAGCCAAGAATTCCGTCTCTCGCAGAAGCTTCCAGATGCACCACAGATAGCAGATGGAGAAGCCAGCCGCACCTACACCGACGTTGGCGACAACCCACAAATCAGGTTTGCCGGGTGGCGGCACGACAAAGGACTCGACAACGTGCCACGCCGCCATGGTTACATAGAAAGTGCCTTGTAGCAGAGCCGTGCCCCATTGGACGAGCTTGGACTGTCCTTCTTGGAAAGGCGCGTTCCAGGAGGCTGGGGGCAGGCCCAGGAGATAGGCCCAGAGCAGGGTGAGGGCTGCATACGGCACTCTGAGATCGACCCGATGCAACAAAGGAAACATTGTCCAAGCTCCCAGGAGGTTGGCAAAGCCCACCCAGGCACGGACCTCGCCGCTCATGCCCTGTTTGCCGGCGAGGAGCAGCGTCATAGGCATCAACGGGAGAAGAACGCTCTTCTCGTGAACTTGCCAACTGAAGAGGAAAAAGCCCCAGGCAGTGGCCGCAAAGGCAACCGGGAGTGCTGACTTGCGTGGGCGCAAGAATAGGATGAGGTTGGGAGGGATGATGGACAGGAGAGTGGCCCCCAGAGCAGCCTTCTGGAGAAGCTCGACGGGGTAGTTGCGCAGCTTGATAACAGTGTTGAGGGCACACCAGAAGTTGGCGACCTTGTCTTCAAAGAGACCGCGAGAAAAGGGGAATACTCGGTGGACCATTTGGACAAGCTGCTCAACAATGGGATAGTAAAAGTTTTGAGGGTCGATATAATTGACGATGAAGGAGAAAATGGGGAGCGGTGCCGTAGCTCCATTGAGCTCGGGCCTTGCGTCAATCCCGTGGTGTTTGTCGTAGAGCACGCCAAGTGCTAGAGGCAGAACAAGAACGCCGAAGGAGACGGCGGTGACTAATGCAATGCCAAACAGCCTGCCGGGGTTGATGCCGGTGGTGATGCATCTCCCGAGCAGGTAGGAGAAGACACTAAAGGCATAGTAGAGAGCCATCTGCTTGAAGCCCAGGGCGGCCACGAAGAAGACGGCCGCCCACTTGTATCGCTCGGCGAGCATGCTAGACATGCTGGCTACAACAAACCCGAGCATGACAGTGTTGTACTGGAAATGCACATGGTCGATGAGAATCAGCGACGGCTGCATAAGAATGGCCACGAGGGCCAGGTTGCTCGTCCAGGTGTTGACGCCATTGAGCCTGCTGAACCGTCGCACGAAGACTGTAGCGGCGGGGACGAAAATCAGATATTCAGACGCAATCACGGTTGCTCTCATGAAAATCTTGAGCATTGGGTCGTGGGAACCGCGCGACGACATGAGGGCGAACCACTCCGGGTTGATGAGGGAGCCGATCTTGCCCAGCGCCCAGCTGTGATATGCGGTGAGAGGCGGATAGTCCAGCCCCCACCACTCGAGGTCGTGAAAGTACCACTGAGAGATGGGAAGGTTTGCCGTGATTTCCATCCAGTGGCGCTGAGCTTCGTAGTCGCCAAACAGGGGCGGTCGTTGGAATCCTGTATCCGCGACGCAGCATCGTCCTTTGTCAGTCCCAGATCGCGCAGACGCAACAAGCATCCAATTGGCTCTCACCAGAGTACCCCCAAAGCCCAGCCGCCCATCGAAACAGCCCAACAACCATCAGGACCAGCGGCAGCACCTCCCACTGCGACAGCGACGTGCGCGCCGGCCACATGAAGGCGGCCAAGGGAAACGCCGGCGTGCGCACGAGGGCTTCGAACTTGCGCGGCTTGTCGGCGTCATTTTCGGCCTTGTTGGCTTTGCGCCGGGGCTTGTGCGGCGAAGGACTTGGGGCGGGCATTTTGCTGGTCACCGCATGAGGAGGAGGATTTGCGATGCGAGTTGCAAAAGATGAAGTTGAAGATGAAGTGACACTTGGAGCTTTTGGCAGCATCTCCAGATTGGGGAATTTCGGTGGAGCTCCAATATCATGGATTGCATATCAGATCAGCTACAGTGTGAATTGTCGCCGCTACATGCACTGTATGGTGATGCTTTGGTGTAAATGCCAAGGCGCTGGGGCAATCAATGTCTCTTTTCTGCAACCATCGCCAATTCCAGCTCGCAAGAGACATTGACCGCGAATACCAGCGTCCAGCAACAGAAGAGCCTCGTCTCGTCTCGTCCCCGATAATGCCATTTCCATTCGTCCTACCGACCACCTCGGCCTTTTCCTTCTCCTCGTCCGTTAGCTGTGACTCTCACCCATCGCTGCCCCTCAGCGCGAGCACTTATCGCGGGGTTGTCAGAGACGCGCTCAAGAAGCACAAGAGACTCCCTCCCTCGTCTCAAACGGCAAATCTGAGCACCGTCATCTCCAGTTTAGAGCAATATCTCCCGTATCTCATCGCCGTTGACGCCGGCTTGAGTAATCAACCGGTTAGCAATGAGACGGTCAACACAGTGTTGGAGTCGACTCCCTCCATCTCATGGAGACCAACGCTTTCTGGCGACCTTGTGCCTGGGCGTGAACGTCCCCGGGTGAACATTAACTCATTGGAATATGAGATTTACTTTGCGCTGTCCACTTTGGGCTTCTCTCATGTCCTCATGGCAAGGGCCGCGCTGCAGCCTCTTTATTCCACAACTCAGGATTTCCAGGGGACTCAAGAGCGGACAACCATCATGACAACGGCCACGAAATACCTGCTGGAGGCCGCTTCCATATACGACTATGCCGCCACAAGAAGTGAGCAGGTGATTGGCAACCCGCCTTGCGTTGATATTTCACCAGCTACGCTCCGTGCTCTCGCTTCCCTCTGCCACGCCGAGGCAACGCTGTTAGCTGTGCTAAAGGACGACCCTTACCCAGCAGCCGTGGCACAGGATAGGAATAAAAACGACAAAGAGTGGATGTTCAAGGCCCCCGACATCCCCAAAGTTCGAGCCCATCTCTATGCTCGTCTATGCCTCGCCGCATCTGAGCATGCTGCCAAAGCCTCGGCATTATGCCAATCAGCCAGGGCAGGACCAAGTGGCGTTAGCTCTGGATTCTTGCGATACTTGGAAGATTTACGGCGGACTAGCCGAGCAAAAGCCTGTCGATTCTTCGGAATCGATGCCGAGCTGGGTGGTGAGACGGCAGAAGGGATTGCCTGGGCACGTGCTGGTTTGCACGAACTCGGCATCGAGGTCAAGGATGCAAAGAAGGGGCTGAGCCTGAGTCGTACGATGAAGGGGCTCCATGAGAAGAGAGAAGACCGTCGAGTTGACAAAGAAACTACCTGGGGAGCTGATGCTGGCAAGCTGGAAGAGACAAGGATCCTCGAGTTGCTAGATGCAAAGTGGAGCAAGATCAATGATACGGTAAGCATCACGATGCCTTTACACTTCCACCCGGCTAATTATTGATGTAGATGAACACGCGGCCAATTCCGCCCATAAACGCTTTAATAAACAAGATGCCCTCGGGCCGTGAGATTCACACCATCAAACCATATCAGCTCCCTACGCTAGATCGAGATGTGCTGGAGGCTATGCGAGCGCCCCCTGAACACGGCGAAAATGTTGGAGGAGAGTTTAGTTCTGATGATGAGACTCTGGTGGAAGGATCCACGACAAGGAGCTCATATTATTAACATGGGATCCTGGGTAACATTCATGGGCATTAGCATATGGGTTTCATGGAGCATTGTATATCACAAAAATAGGCACCGGTAATCGTTGATAAGTGTTCAACTGCCTATATTTGTTTTATTTTTAATTGCAGGTGCCTCAGCGCAGGTTTATTCAAGCCAATTCCGAGCCGCATCTCCTCTCATCTTGTGTCCACCAGCAGTTGTAGAAGAACCTGCCTGCTTATCAATTTTATAACCCCGTCAGTCCCACCACCAGGCATCCTCGTCTTCGTTGGGAATCCAGGGAAGTGGGTTTTCTGGCGTCGAGCCTATTTCCATTTGGACGTCTGCCACGTCTTCCACTTCTGTCACCGGCTCTGCTGGGATTGGATCTTCTGATATTGGTGACTCTGAGGCTGGATCTTCCGACTCTGGATCTTCCGACTCTGGATCTTCCGACTCTGGAGTTTCCGAAGCTGGAGTCACTGAACTTGGACTCTCCACGGTTGGAGTGACTGAAGTCGAACTCTCCACGGCTGGAGTGACCAAGGTCGGGTCCTCACTAGTTGTTGTCACTGAGACTGGAGTGATTGAATTTGGACTCTCCACAGCTGGAGTCACTGAACTTGGATTCTCCACGACCGGAGTCACTAATATCGGATCCTCACCAGTTGGTGTCGCTGGAACTGGGCTCACCACGACTGGACTCTGTGGAATTGGACTCTCCAAGTCAGGAGTGACTGAAACCGGATTCTCACCAGTCGGTGTCGCTGGGATCGGGCTCACCACAACCGGACCCTGCAGAATTGGATCCAAGTCGAGAGGCGGGCAGGGAAGAGGCGTAGGAGCAGTGTCGACACAAGGATCGTAGCAACTATCACAGTCTCTCGCGTTAGCACAACAAACAAAATAATAACAATGAAGAAGAGGGGAAAGGGGGAACAATACCCTCCATAAGGTATGCCGCAATCGCTAATCGCGCTTATGCAGATGATGCCACAGAATGTGCTCGTCGGCTTGATTGGCCTCGGCAACGCAAGAGCAGCAGCTCCCCCAGCGAGAGCCACGGCAAACACCATTCGCCTTACAGCCATGGTGAAGAGAATCTCTTCAATAATAAACAAAACTTGTAAGAAATAACACGTCCGGGGGAGGTGAAGTCAGGTAGCTAAAGAACCTGCAGGATGTCTCCCCTTCATACAACAAACCGTGTAAAGTCCAGCTTGCCTCAATCCTGAGGGCGCAAGCGGGATGAAGACAGCTTTTGTGCAACAAGAAAATCCTGTGGCGAAAGGGAACGGACCGACTTTGCACAAGGGAGAGGGTGGTTGGGATGGTGGCAACTGACTGAGAGGTATGCTGGTGTTGTCAGACTGGACTGGCCGAGGAATGTGTATAGACTCATGGCATTTTACCATTCGCCTTCGCCGAAAGACATGATGCTAAACATAGTAAACATTGCGAGAGCACAATGAACCGGTCATGTAAAATAAAAGATATTTTTTACTCTTCTCCCTAGTCGAACATCGATGAATAGTACCAGGTAGTTTCATCGGTGATTAATACACAGCGGCAATAAATCCTCAAGGTATCCGCCCAATTTTAGTTTCCCTCTTCATTCCTCCCCCCCAATGACAGTCCAACCCAACTCGCTCCTTATGCTCCAAGAGACATCTGCTTCTTGATCTCGGCAATGGCCTTGCCGGGGTTCAGGCCCTTGGGGCAGGCGCGTGTGCAGTTGAGGATGGTGTGGCAGCGGTACAGGCTCATGGAGTTCTCGAGCTTGGCCTTGCGGGCATCCTTGCGCTCGTCTCGGGAGTCAATCAACCATCGGTAAGACTGCAGCAGGATGGCGGGGCCGAGGTACTCTTCGGAATTCCACCAGTAAGAGGGGCACGAGGTTGAGCAGCAGGCGCACAGAATGCACTCGTAGAGACCGTCCAGCTTCTTTCGGTCCGCCTTGCTCTGGCGGTACTCCTTGCCCTATATTTCTCCCAGTTAGTAAATCTTGCTCGAGCTGTATGCGATTTCATGTCATGTCAGGTCAAGTCAGGTCGGGATGGTGGCGTACATCTTCAGCAGGGGTGTCGCGCTGCAGGTAGGGCTGGATGGACTTGTACTGCTTGTAAAAGTGCGTCAGGTCAGGCACCAGGTCCTTGACAACGTAGGTGTGCGGCAGGGGGTAGATCTTGACGTCGGACGAGGACTCGGCGGGGATTCGGCACAAGCAGGCCAGGGTGTTTTGGCCGTTGATGTTCATGGCACAGCTGCCGCAGATGCCCTCTCGGCAGCTCCTCCGGAAGGTCAGGGACGGGTCCTGCTCGTTCTTGATCTTGATGAGGGCGTCCAGGATCATGGGGCCCGTCTTGTTGAGGTCAATGGAGTAGGTCTGCAGCTTGGGCTTCTCGGTCGGGGTATCGGGATTCCATCGGTAGATCTGGAAGGACTTGATCTTGGGCTGCTGCTCGGTGGTCTCGCTGACCGACGCCATGGACCGCGAGAAGACGGCGCTGGGGCGGAAAGCTGCCCTCGCAGAGGAGCCGAGGATTCGCGTCGAGGAGCGGAGAGCGGCCATGGTTGCTGTTGTCTCGTGTTCCGAGTTGGTTGATGCTTTTTCGGGTTCGGAATGGCTTTTTTCGGATCCGGCTCAGCCCCGCGTTTTTGAAGCTGGTCTGCAGTGGTTCACAGGGAGGGAATCGGAGTTGAAGCTGGTGATTGATGCGAGCCAAGGCAATCGTACCCTTTGGTTCCTCCTGGCAGCCGCTCAATTGCAAAGACTCTCGGTGGCGGCTTGGGATCTCGTCGTCATGGAAGAAGCTGGGAAGATGGAAGTGGCTCTTCCTCGGCTATGGGACGTCGAGACAAGGCCACGGGCCGGCCAATCACAGCCGTTTCATTGACAATTCGGCTAAGCAGGAGAAAGTCGGGATTGCCAGGCGGCAGCTCGTGACAGCCGGCTAAAGGTCGGGCCAGAAGCTGCGGTAAACTGCAGACCCTTGCACGTGCCGGGGGGGCATTAGCTAATCATTACGTGCCTTAGCGCGCAAACACTGAACCAAAGCCGTGGGGGAAAGATTTTGGGGATTTTGGTGGGGTTTAATTAATTAATACCGTACGGAATAATAATCCCGATTGAGTCCTCTTTGTTTGCCTCTTGTCATCTCCAAATTCGCCTCAGTTTCTCCAATTAATTTTTGTCCAATTTTTTCTCTTCGGCGCAGGCGGGATTCATCTTGCCGCGGCCGCTTTGCCCTTGACGAAGCCGCTTTCTGGCTGTAGAATGGCGAAGAAGCTGCTCGTCTAAAGTATTGCCCTGACTGGCGATTGCGCCCCGCAAGGACCTCGCCCTTCAATGCTCGTTTTCCCTTTGCGACAATCCATCGCAGCAAAGATATTCTAGGCGGCCATGTTTCTCTCTGGCAGATTGCCTGCCTCGCCATCACTGCGAACGCTACTTCATGGTTGGTGGCTCTGAACGACGCGACTTTGCGTCCCCGGCAGCTCCTTGTCCTGCTAACCGTCTGAATAGCCTCTAGTTGCGCACCCAGGACTCGCCAGGCGTCGCAGTTATTAGCCTCCAGACACATGTCGCAGCCTCTGCGCTCGTATTCCGACTCGCCCTCTTCTTCCTCTCCGAAATTCTCCTACCACATTGCCGCGTCATTCATCGCAAAGGACCGTCCGTACGACCCTTCCACGCACGTGTTCCACTTCAACCCATACAATCGAATTCAACCGCCTCGACACCGCCGAAAGTCTTCGCGTCCTGAATCCGGCCACGATGCTTTCTTCGTGAGCAGAGTTAACGAATCTGGCTCTGTGGCCTTTGGTGTTGCAGATGGAGTGGGCGGCTGGGTAGATTCCGGCGTCGATCCTGCGGATTTCTCACATGGATTCTGCGACTACATGGCGGCTGCAGCATACGAATACCCCTCGACAAGCGACAAACCTCTCACAGCGAGGAAGCTCATGCAGATGGGATACGACGCGGTTTGCAAGGACGCAAATGTGCCTGCGGGCGGCAGCACGGCTTGTGTCGCCATTGCTAGGCCTGGAGGAGTCTTGGACGTGGCCAACCTGGGCGATTCGGGTTTCTTGCAACTGCGCCTGAACGCAGTGCATTCTTATTCCGAACCGCAAACCCATGCCTTCAACACCCCGTTTCAGCTTTCAGTCGTGCCTCCCAGTGTTGCCGCAAGAATGGCGGCTTTTGGGGGAGCTCAACTGAGTGATTTGCCACGAGATGCCGACGTAACGCACCATCAGCTGCGCCATGGTGACGTCCTCGTCTTTGCTACTGACGGCGTGCTGGATAATCTCTTCAACCAAGATATCCTTCGGATCGCCAGCCGAGTAATGGCCAAAACGGGCGCGTGGAACATTGCCGAAAACGAGGCAGTCACAGTAGCCGATTCTCTAGACGATCTCACATCCTCTCCCCACGAAAGCAACTCCCAGGACGTGATTGTGAGGAGAGCCGTGACATTGCAGAGCTTGTTGGCAACAGAAATCGTGACTGCCGCCAAACTAGCGAGTATAAACACGAAGAGGGACGGACCCTTTGCCAAGGAGGTGAAGAAGTATTATCCCCAGGAAGGGTGGCACGGAGGAAAAGTCGACGACATTTGCGTTGTCACCGCCGTCGTCTCGGAAGATGCGGCTGATATCAAGAGCAAGCTCTAGATTACGAGGGGGACACGAATCTGCGCAATAGATTTTAGACAGCGGCTAGCATACGGCACTTTGGTTTAGAGAGTTTTCTTCTTCTTCTTTTTTGGCTAGAATACGGTGAAGACGGAGGGTTTTGTTTTGGTTATTTGGTTTTTGTGTGTATCAGTATTTTTGTAGCATGGGCTATCCGTTCTTGTACATTACCAGGTAGTTTATTTGGGAATAAATAAAATAAGACAAAGCAGACAAACAAACAAATAGTTCTTTTTTATCGTGAATCGAGATTCAATTGAGTGAAAAACATGTCGTGTTTGTGATGTGCTTTCGGCTACAAAAATGGATTTGCACGGCGCTGTGATTGGATGTAAATGTCGGCTTCATGATGTCATTGACAGTGACGTTGATGGGATTCAAAGTTCCAATTTATACCCATTTCTACCAATTCACCTCACGCAATATCATATGAGAGGTTTTAAAAAGATACTAAAATGAAGGAGATATATCTGGTAAGTTTACTTATAAAATTTGTCAAGTTTATACCTGGCAATGTATCTTGGACACTTACACATTTGCTGTAAACAAGGCCGGTGCCGCTGCGGCCTTCACAGTCGACGTGCTCATATATCCTCTCGACACATTAAAAACACGGCATCAAAGCCAGGACTTCATAAAATCTTCCGTTTCAAAACCCCTCGCTCTACGGGGTCTCTACCAAGGCATCGGTAGCGTGATACTTGCCACTCTACCAGCAGGTGTGTAACAACGCGCTCTTCTGTCCCATCTTGAAAAAGCATCTCATCCGTATTTCAAGTGAGTTAACCAACATGTTTTATCAGCCGGTGTATTCTTTTCAACATATGAGACTGCAAAAGGCGTCTTCGGGCGGCATCTCCCCGTTCCCGAGCCAGTAACCCATTCCCTCGCCTCAGCAGTCGCCGAGATGGCCTCGTGCCTCATTTTAACGCCAGGCGAAGTCATCAAGCAAAATGCTCAAATGCTACAAGCCAAGGAAGCAAGTACATCGACGTCGTTGATGGCATTCCGCCGCCTGCTGACGACTGGTTCCGCGAGTGGGCTGTTCACAGGGTATTCAGCCCTGGTTGCACGTAACCTACCCTTCACGGCGCTTCAATTTCCCCTGTTTGAGAATCTACGGAAACGTCTATGGGATCGAAGATTAAGTTCAAGAGAGGATCAGGCAAGAGGTGTTGGAGAAACGGGGTTGATTGCCGGAGCCAGTGCAGGAATGGCTGGAGGTCTGGCTGCGTTTGTGACCACGCCGAGCGATGTGATTAAAACACGGATGATGGTGAGAGCTGATAGCGAGCACGATCAGACTAAATCGGAGCAACGGCATAGAAGAATACCTTTCACCAAGACTGTCAAGGACGTCTGGCGTGAGAGGGGGGTCCGGGGTTTCTTCCGTGGAGGAGCATTTCGCTCTGCTTGGACGGCGGTGGGCAGTGGTTTGTATCTGGGCATGTATGATGCCGCAAAGCTATGGCTCGAGAGGAGGCCGTAACTAGCATGGCTGTAATTAACGGTTCAAGGCGTGTAAGAGCAGTCCTGCTATCAGTCTCCCGCATTGATGATGAAGCCGGATAAAATGTATTGCTCTGAGAAATGCCAGCTGATCTCGCAACAAGACACAGAAATCAAGAGATGGAATGTTATTGTTTTGCACCTCTATTATTAACACATGATTAACTCATAACAGGAGATTATCTAGCTCTATCACAGTGAGTTTATAGAACGACTAAATCATCAAAACTCCACGTTTCCCTTTCCCGAACACACTACTCTCCATACAATTCAAGAGCAGCGAGTCAATTCAAATACCCTGCTCCATCCTTTCCCTTTTCCCTTCTTAAACAATCGAAGAGATCTGCAACTTTCATCTCCTAGCCATGCTACCCCCTTGGAAACTCAATGCCATTATTCACCTTTTTTGCATATGCAGGTGTAGAACATTGCTTCCACCTGGTGTACATTTCCATGTAGCTTAAATACTCGAAACGCACACCAGGACGATTGGACAACCTTTCGCAATGTTGAAGTGTATCCGTGTCTATTGGTGAAGAATAATCCTCCACCACTACTCTCTTGAGCCGTGGGAAATGTCCCTCTCGAATCGCCTGTGCCATCACATGTATTTTATTCCATTTTTCGTGGAAGCCTTGGAAATAGATGCAAGTAAGCGATCCAGGCAGCATTGTGACCAACTGTTGCACATTTTCGGGGAATGAGGGAGTTCCCTGGTCGTCCACTGAGCCAAAGCCAGCTGTCAACACCCACAGGCTCTCCAGCGAATCGAATCCGCGGAAACTGCCATAATACTCTTCCGGGCTTACTTGGTCCCAATCATAGGGATCTAGACCAAGTCTCAATCTCAAATGCTTCAGAGTCTCCCTTCTCGACTGCAGTGTGCTCTGCGCCGAGCTCCACGTAAGCGGCGCTGGCTCGTACTGTGCCATTGCGCCAACGAAATCGGTTAAATAAAGGTCAAGATGCTCCAATATCGGACACGAGTCAACAAGGTTTTGCAGGCTCTTCGGTCCTATCAGGCCAAGATGAAATGTCAAGGAGCGAATTCTTGCAAGAGGCAGTCGCTGCGTAACTAACATACAATCCTTCACTTTCAATGTCTCAAGACATGGCATCGCGGCCAGGAAGTCACTCATCTGGCCAAGGTCAACATCGGCCCAAGGCGTCAATGAGAGGGTGGTGACGGACTCCATTGGAACCGGCATCTTTGGTAAGCCATCCAATCGAGCGTCAGAACCACATGGTACATTGATATCCAGCTGCTTTGCGTTTGTGAGCTCTGCCAGCACCTCTCCAAGGAGTTGATGACGAATTAAGATGTGATCCAGCTCATCGCTCCAGGAGCAATCGTCACCACTATTGCAGAACCGGTGTACCTGAGCAGCCAAGTGTTTGTGTTCCGCACTCGTAATAGTCCGCAAAAACAGTGATGTGTTTCTAGGGCTAGCATCATGGTATAGAACTGGCAGCGCGACAGCACGCAAACGCTTACTAGTCATGCTGAGATTTGATAGATCCTTTTGAAAAGTTGTCGGAATATCAGAGCAATGCGAGCATAGATTTTCGCATATCTCAAGGAGGATCTCGTTCGGCATATCCATGAGGCTACGCTGTGACTTGCGACTATCCGACGCCATGGCGAAGCTATGGTTGCTATAGGAGCAGCAGTTTTGTGGTTCGAAATACCAGTGTTTGAAGGTGAGCTCGAAAGAGTGAGATTGTGCAGAATGGTTGATGATTTCCGTAAGCTTAGAGCAGAAGGAGTTGCAAACAGAGAAATATATACATACCTATGCATGCCTCGTCTTACGTGCGAGATATCAGGCATCAGCTGGCGCCCATTCTCCCTTTGTTCAGTGCCACATCTTTCCTTCGTTCAGTATTGCATTTTCCCTTTGTTCAGTACCACGATTCTCTTTGTTCAACGTCCTATTGCCTCCTTGCCTCTTTGTTCAGCGTTACACTCCCTTCTTGTCCAGTGTCACGTTCTCTCTTTGTCTCTGCAGTTTGTTTAGGCTACAAGTACTTCCGATACCAGTTATTTCACTGGGCATGTATAATGCTGTAACGCCGTGGCTTGAGAGGAGATAGTATGCCAAATGGTTCACAGGGTGTAATTGGTAAAGAGCCAGCGCTTAGATGAGTGCGGGAAATCGCATCCAACCTTGCAACAAGACGCGAAAGCCAATAAATGGAAGCAAGTCTCTTCACACAATAGCCTCCAAATCTCAGCTTTAGATACAGTCTCTTGGAGTCAACATCTCCTAGAATCGGCGACTTTGATAACCATCCTCTCACTCTGCTTCATCTTCCCCATATTCATAGTCATCTTCCTTTTCTTTCTCAACAAACTCTGGATCAGAACAATCCGGAAATTCTTCAAGCTTAGTGTCATTAAAATACGCACAAAACACGTCAACATCTGCAAGTAGTTCACGCGCATATTCAAACTCTTCCTTTTCATGTTCCAACAGCACAAACTCGAGCTTCGGGAAATGCCCCTCCAAAATTGCCTCTTGTAGGATCTCTATCCCATCCCAATCTTTGTGCGAACCGCAGAAACCGAGACAGATGAGTGATTGAGGTAGTTTACTAACCAGGTCTTCCATATCTTTTGGGAATATAGGCACATCTTTGTCCTCATCATCCGTCCCAAAGTCCGTCGTACGCACCCACAACGTGTCTAATCCGTCAAAGTCGTGGAGATTGCTCAATTGGAAATCTTGCAGACTCTCAAGTTGGTCCAAGTATGGGGGGAATTCTTTGCCAAATACGAGATTCAAATTCTTTAGTGTTTCCCTCCGCGAGTGTAGTATGCGCTGCGCCTGTCCACACGTAACTGTTTGCTGCTCGTAGGATGAGGTATAGTCATAATCATAAGGCCTGACATAGTACTCAAAATGTTCCAGCTCTGGACAGGAGTCGACAATCGTTTGCAGGCATATCGCGGTGATCATGCTATTTCTGAGAATGAGAGTGCAGAGCTTAGCAAGCGGGAGAGTTTCCGTAATGCTCCCACAGTCATATGCCGCCAAGCGCTCAAGGCATGGCATCATGGTTAGAAAGCCGCCTAGAAGGCCAAGGTCAAAGAGATCCCCGGGAATCAACGACAGATCGCGGATGGACTCCATGGTGATGCATTTATTGCGCGAATCTGTTAAGCAGGTGGTTTCCTCCCAGAGAGGCACCACGATGGATAAGCTCGCTGTGTTCGGAAGGCGAGCGAGTATCAATTTCAAGAGTCGCTGGTCACACTCGAGCCCGTTCCTCTTAATCTGTCGATCCCACTTTCGAACCCATTTATCACTTTCGTTAACGTCAAGGCGTCGTGCTTCCGCTTTCAACATGTCGAGATCCTCGCCCGAAGCGTCACGCTGCTCGGCCTCATCGTAAAGGAATGAGCGTACTTGGACAGCCAAGTCTGGCCGCGCAATGATGGTACGCAGAAAGAAGAGATTATCACCAGGCCAAACACAATGATACAAGATTGGTTCTGCGATGTCACGCAATCGTCGACATGTCCTCATGAGAGACCACAAGTCCGTGTTGAAAAACTTGTCGTCTGATGGTTTCGGAGTGCCATAGCAATGGAAACACAGCTCTTCGCAGATCATCAGGAGTATTTCGTCCGGCAGCGTGATGAGGCTGGCCGGCGGCATCGTGAAAAATGTGGCTGCAAGACGAACAGCAGCTTTTTTTCGATTCGAAATATCTAGACTGAGAGAAGAATTTTGAAAAGAGCAAAGAAGCTGCAAAATTGGTCAATCGTTTGTTTGTGGGCGATGCAGATGCAGATGCAGATGCAGATGCAGATGGAGGAGGGAAAGCTGGTTGGCACCTGCCAAGTTTTTGGAACTCCCCCTTTCTACCCTTTGTGTATCGATAACTTGCAGTCACTTTCTGTTCAGCGTCACAGTCACATTCACTCTTTTATTTCAGTGGGCGGGCCATGCTATAATCACTGTTAGTGACAGCTATTCGATAAACATTCAGGGCAGTCAACTATCGAAGCCTGATTACAACTTGAGATCCAGAAAGCATACTCTGCAGACAGCTAGACCGCCAGAGACGATCAAACAACCATAATTCTACCTACAATAATGGCAAACACCAGTGTCTACTAATATATGGAGGTTATATTTATTATCAAGAGGTTCAGTAAAGCTGCAACAGCTAGGTCAGAGGAAGTCTACTAATATGTATTCATTAATCTGCATATCCTATCCTGAAGCAGCTTCCATAACACTTCAAAACACCCCCCTACTCATCATCCTCCTCGCTATCACTCTCAGCCTCCTCCTCCCCAACCTCCTCCTCACTATCCTCCGCCCCCTCCGGCCTCTCCACCATCAAAAACGCCGCCAAGCACGTCACCCGATTATGCGTCACGTACGTCCCCCTCAACCCTCCCGCCGGCTTCTCAATCTTGGCATCCTTCTTCCTCGCCCCCTCCAGCAGCTCCTCCGCCTGCACCGTCCACACCCTAATCTTGCCGTCGCTGCTCGCCCCAACCACGTAAAACGTCCCCGGGTTACCCGTGCTCGGTATGGCCACAAAGTCCTTGATTCTGCCTGAAACGCCTTCTCCTCCAACGTATCCGACGAACTTGGCCACGGGGAAAGTTCCTTCAGATCCCTTCTTATCGTCCTTGTCTGAGGGCTCGGGAGTTGAGAGGTCATCTGCTTTTGTCGAGAAGAACGCAACACGGCCATCTTCCGTCGACACAGCCAGCAGCGCGTCTCCAGTCTCCTCATCAATCGTAACGTAGGTGAAATGGTGTATCTTGACCCTGGTAGTCGGCATGACTCGGCACTTTGGCACACTGTCCATTCCAAAAACAATGATATCCCGGTCGAATCCCACTGCAAACTCGTCCGCCCCGTCTGCCGTTCCCCAAGTCACTTTCCGCGCCTCGCCACTGGCATGTTTGCTCTCCCCGACCTCTCTCAGCATCTCCTTGCTAAAGCTCAGCACGCCCGCCTTCTTTCCGGTGACGAGATTCCACAATCGCATACATCTCTCTCCCTTGCCAACGCTAATCATCAACTTCATGCTCGGATGGATCGCAAAGTCGTTGACTCCAGACGGTGTACCGCCAAACGGCGCTGTATCACCGGTTGGTCGGCCGTGCGCCGTTGGCTTCGGTGTCTTGATATTGCTCAACATGGACCAATCTCGCGTCCGCGTCACCGCAATCGTCGAGTCGTCACTCGCCGAAAGCAGCTTCGACCTCGTAGGAAACCTCAGCGCCGTGATCGTCGAGTCGTGGTGCAGCAACGTTCCCAGCTCTCTGTTCTTGGGGTTCTCCAGGATCGGTCTCGGAGCCACGCTGGCCAATGCATCGCGATTCTTCTTGCTCGGGGGATGCGCCGACAAATTGTAGACGTGAACCCGCTCGTCCGTGCTACCGGAAGCCAAAAGGACCTTTTGCGTCTGGCCCGGAAGCGGAGGTGAGATGGGAGATACGGCAACGCATCGAATGGCGGATGCGTGCGCATTGAAGAGAAACGTATCGGCGAACTCGGCGTCTCCCTTGGCGCCAATTGTGGCCGTCAATCCATGGAGAACTCGGTCGTAGGATCCGGCGACGATCTGAATGGTTTCCTCCACAAACTTGTTGCTGCTTGTCGTTGGCTTCGTCTTTTTCTCAGTCTTTGCTTCAACAGCTTTTGCGCTGCTCTTGGTAGGTTTTGTCTTTTCGTCGACGGTTTTTGACTTCTTGGCGGATACTGGCTCCGGAGCAGGTTCGCTGGTAGCAGCGGCTTGTCTCTTTCTTTTCGCCATCGTGTGTTGCTGTGGTTGAATGTTTTTTTGTTGTACGACGTACGAGAGATCAATCCAAGATCCAGATGCAGCCTCTCAATGGCAAAAAAAAATAGTATGGGTACCTTGCGCGATAAGATAAGGCTCATGGTGTGCGCTTTTAATGCATTATATTGGTTTGATGCATGATTCCCGATGCTCGGCGGAATCAGGTCAATAGTATGAATTACAAAACAAAACGAAATAAAAGAAGAAGAAATGGGTAAAGAAGGGAGAAGAATCTTTACAAGCAAATCATATTCATCACAGACAGAAAAAGAAGATGAAAAAGGGGGAGATTAAATATTGTATTTCCACGGCCGGTGAAATGCTCCCATATATGCTTGAATATATTGTGTATCTGCTTCGTGATATTTCGAACCGATGCTTTTTGCCGACAAGGGTGAAATGTTGGTAAATAATATAAATAAAAAAGATAAATAAAACCAAAAAAAAAAAAGTCTCCATCATCGCGTCCCATCCCTCTCCCGCCCACCCTCTCGGCTCAACTCTATAGTGCTCAGACTGGGAAAACGCTTCGTAAAATCCTCAATGTAGTCCTCCCTTTCCCGCGAGGTCATCTCCAGCATTGGCTGCCCGGGGAGGTCGATTGCTATCAAACGCTCAAATGTGGGTTCATCCCTCTCTTTGGTTGGCGAGGAGGCTTGTCGACCTCCTGTTGGTATGTTGTTCAGGTGAACAGGCTTCTTTGGGGCCGTTGGCTTGGCTTGCGTCTTGGCCGATACGCTCGCAGAAGCTGATGCCGAACCTGCAGGTTGTTTACCATCGACCAAGGATCCGTCGCTTCGTCGTGGATCTACAACGATAGGCTTTGCAGCCACGGCTGGTTTGCGCTTCACCTCAGGACGGGGCTTGTCCGCCTCTCCGGGTGCCGGTTCAGTATCCGTAAACCTTCCGTACCCATGGGCCGTTCGTGGCACGTTTGCCGGCTTTTGTTCCTCGCTCAGCAGACTCTGAACCCTGTTTTGTATACTGGCGGCGCGTGCTGCTCCCATTGGCTTTGGGGCCGTGGGGGGTCGAGTCTTGGAGGGCGATCCGCTGCCCTCCGCAACCCTTTTCCGGTATTCTGCTTGCGCAGCCTCTACTCTAGCTTCCTCCTCTTCTAACTGACGACGCTCCAGGTCACGACGCATCTCGGCTGTCATGTGGTGTCCTTCTCCGTCTGAATCGCTCCGGTCGTCTGCTGCTTCAGAACCCTGAATGGGCGTCAATGCGCGGCGCCCCTGCTCTTTGCCGGGCGATGAGGATCTTTCTGGCTCATTATCGGATGGGGCATTGTTTTCAAATCTCTTGAATGCACCGCCAAATTTGCCTGCAAGCAAGTTCTTGGAAGTCGAGGCAGCCACATCGGGTCGTTGCCCTTGGCGGTCTTGATCATATTCCTGCACTTCGATGCTTCTTGAGCTACAGGAAGTCGGTTCTTTGGAGCTCCCTCCTCCAGTGTTGGCATGCGACAAGGGCAGATGCCAAGACGAGTGTCGGTTCGTAGAGGACTGCCGAGAAGGAGGCTTGGATGCGTTCTCCCTCTCGCGCAAATACTCCAGGGTGCTCGGTTCGAATGTAGAGCTAAGAGGCCGCGGCTTACTGACAGGCTCGCCAGCGGAAGACCGCATGTCTATCAGGTCCTCTGCGGAGCTGAGGATATCCAATGACGTCCTGGATGAGGCAACAGTGCTCTGGCTCAATCGCGGCTGGACAGACGAAGATCGGGTGTTTGCCGACGCCCAGTTTCCACCAGAGTGTCGCTTGGCGGTGTTTTGTCCGGTGAGAGCCGCCGCAGCACGGGCTACGGGCGCGCGTGGGGTTTCGACCTCGAAAGAACGCCTGCTTCTCTCCACGTCCACCGGCCGCTCCTTGTCGGGAGATTTTTCCGTCATTGTCCCCGTGGAAACATATGAGGAGCTTGCCGTCTTATTAGCAATGGCCTTGAGCTCAGGGTTGCTCGTAATGATGGACTGTGCCCGGCTAATCCCGGACTGCGCCGTGGATGATGGCACCAACTTGGGAAGAGGCTTGACCTCCAGGGTTGCCGGTGAGATATCAGGAGGAGGGCGAGACGAGATTGGCGCAACAGAGTGCGGTCTCGGAACCGGGGTTGAAGGCGCGGGGCTTCTAGAAGACGCGAATGCTGCGTCGGCCAATCGTTCAGCAACCTTTGTATTCAAATCTTTCTGGGGACGAGGCGAAATCGGGCCAGTGTTGTCAAAGTTGAACGTCTGTTGGTCAAGTAGCAAGGAGAATTCGTCGAGACGAGGAAATCTAGAAGAGAGCTCATCAGGTTCTGCCTTGCGGATGGCGGCAGCAGCGGTAGCCTTGGAGTCCAATGCAGCAAACGGGTCGCCATCGGTGATTTTTCCCGGTCCCGGTGTCCGAGATGGTGAAGGAGTCGGACGCCCTCTTCTCATGGGTGTAATGTCTGGGAGGGCCTGTTGCTCATTGACGGGTGCTGACGAGAAGACGGCGCCCACAACAGGAGCCTGATGTGATTTCGGGTCCGCAACAGAAGGTTGGTTCAGTCTGGGGTCTGCGCTCGCTCGGCCGGAGTAAATCTAAGAAGATGCTGTTAGCTTCAAGACAGGTGCTACGGTGGTGGTTGCACAGAAACTCACATCGTGAATGGGCATTTCTCGGCCCTGCATAGCACAGGCCTCTTTTAGAACTTGGTATATGTTGGGTCTCGATTGCATGTTTTCTTTGAGCATTGAGGCTATTGTAGGTTAGCAAATGAAGCTGTCAAGGAGTTTAAAAAGTCGGCGGAAGTATTGTTCATACCAATGAGCTTCTTTAATCTATCTGAAAACGCTGGGTAGCTGGGATATCTGTAGCTTGCGTTCAAGATTGCCAGCTGCCCTTGGTCTTCAAAGGGGGTCGTGTAGTAGCACAGCTTGTATAGCAAAACACCCAATGCCCAGATATCCGACTTTTCGTTAATCGGTTGTTTTCGATAGACGTCGACCATTTCGGGACTTCGATATTGTAACGTCGTGTGTTTCTGGACATCTTCGTCCATCAGGCGGCAGTCGACGACCGTCAAGGGGGCCGGTCGCGGAGGAGCAGCGGAGCCAAAATCACAGAGCTTGAACCGCTTGCCGCCCGCATGATTGGTGATTAAAACGTTTTCGACCTTGAGATCTCGATGCAACAGCGCCGGCTTGAGATAGTGCATGCAGGCAACGCCCTCGGCAATGTCCGCAAAGATGTTGATGATCTCGGGCTCGGTCAGGCGGTGTTGCAGGCGGGTGTTCATAAAGTCAATGAGGCCGCCGCCATCGCAAAACTCCATGAGCAGAAAGACCTCGTAGCCGCCGCCCTTGAGCTCGGACGCGTGGGAGTCGATGTAGGTGACAATGGCCTGATGCCCCTTTAGACGCTTCATCGTCTCGACTTCGGTTCGCATGCCCCGCAGAGCCTCCTTGTCGGGCACGGCAACTCGCTTCAGCACGGCCAGGTCGGTGCCGTCGACGGCCTTGGGCAGCTTGACGAGGTAGACATGGGCAAAGCCGCCCTCGGACAGGTATTTCTGGATCTGGACGCGATGGTTGCCGACCTGGATCTTGGTCCCTGGGGCAAAGGTGCCGGCCGGGGGCGCGTTGGCCGGCGGAGCGCCCGAGGCCGGATATCCAGCGTGAGGATGGTGAGCCTGCGGGGGCATTCGATGGCCGTACGAAGCCATGGTGTTTCTCACGAGAGAGCGTCGATGGTGTAGCAAAAAGGGCCAGCCAGCCTCGTCGGGTGCAGGAGAAAAGGGCCCAAGCTGGTGACGTACTGGGACGGGACTAGCCAAGGGCGGAGGGGCGCGCTGGAGATGGTGATGCTGTGCTGATACCGCCAGATGCGAGTGAGCGATCAAGACATTGGCAAGCGAAGAAAAACACACGGGGGGCCAGGCGCGGGTTTCGGTTGGTTCGTTGCCTAGCGATGACGGGAGATGCACAGGCCGCGAGATTCTCTCTTTTTTTTTCCTCCTTTTTTTTATCTTGTCAAAGAGGACACTCGGCCCTTGGGAATGAAGACTGCCTAGAATCAAATCGCCAGCCTCGCTCGCTAGTCTAGTAACTCAGTACGGAGTAGCAGCCAAGAAACCCCACCCGGTACCGACACGCGTTTGAGCATCTCTGGGCTGGGTAAGAATCCCGAGGGCTGGTGTTTACCTATGCTTGAAGCACTTGTAAACAAGTACTCCGTGTAAGTCAAAACAGACTCGGAGTCTCACGGACAATCTCCGTAAACATACGTACGCACGTATCTGCATCGCCTCACGATATCATCTCCATCAATAACAACAAAACTTGAACCCAACGGGAGGCCGCAAAAGAAACAAGCATCCATTGAACCCAAAATGCCAACACACTTGCAACTCATCCCAAAACACCCACTAAGCCCCATCTTGACAATCCCAAGCCCTCGTCCACCAATGAGCAAATCCCATGCTAAGCACCGCTCGGCTCATTCGTGCCGTGCAAACCGCCCGCCCATGTCCGTTTCGTGTCCCAAGAATTGAACCCAAGAAAATCGCTTGCCAGCGGTTCCACCCCGAGTTCCAAAGGCCATCCATCCGGTCCGGACTAGGCGGGATGTGGTAGTATCTACGCATGAAAAGGGCACCTGTTATACTCGTGGCGCCCAGCGCGAGGAAGCCCGTCTTTTACCGCCCATCCCATCAAAGTAATCCGAGCAGGAATGGCATGTTTCGGTTCGGCTGCTCGCTTTTTGGGGGGATCGTCCTGATGGCCTGGTACTACTAGCAATAAGCTGATGCTGCGCCCCTGGTGTGTGACTGATACGTTTGCGTCTGTCGTTGTTATCGAGGCCAAAACAGCTCCCTCCCACGATACGGGGATCTGGACTTAAAAAGAGTCCACCCTCCCCCCTTCTCTTTTCCCCTCCCATTCTTGCAGAGCTATACTATCTATACAATAATAACCCACCGTCACTAATTTTCTAACGCCATTCGTTTTTGTTTTTTAACACAATCGACAAAATGTCTTCTCCTCAGCCCCAGATGGTCGCCCAGCAGATGACTGCCGAGGCCCCTGCCCGAGTCAGCTCCGAGCAGCCGGTATGTGCCAACCCAATGCGCTTGTTTATCTTCAGAGGTTCAGCACGGTTGTTGGAATGGAAGACATGGACGAATTCTATACACAATGCATATATATATATACGTCAAGAACGTCTGAATTACTGTCTCGCTAACACTAATTCGTTCGCAGCGTCCCATCGAGCCCATGGCCATCGAGTCCACCGCTAGCATGCGTGGTGGCGACGGCGAGAAGGGTGTAAGTGCCACCAACTACCTACTATATAGATCCAAGCCACATCCGCCATCTGATTCGTTTGATTTCTGACATCAAATTTGTTCCTATATATAGGCCATCTGCTGCGGTATCTGCGCCGGTCTTGCCTGCTTCGAGTGCTGCGAGTGCACCGAGGAATGCTGCGAATGCTGCTGCTAAACGGTGTTTCGCGCAAAGGATCAGATCAGATCAGATTGATAAATATCCAACATGGAAATATATACCTTGATGGGAGAGGGGAACGAAAATGTTTTCAGGAGCTTGTTTCTTTTGGCCGCGATCGCGTATTGGCCATTTAATGATGTGATATCCCCAGACTATTCAGTCTCGACGAATAGAGCAATACCCACAACTTTTACATATCAAGAGATTTTACATATTCGGTTTCCACTGTGTGCTCATAATGTTCATGTTGTTTTGTTTTGTTTTGTTGTTCATCCAAGTCCATTTGGCTTCTTGTTGTGGTTCTACCATCTACTTTTCCCCAGCTTTCATAATATCCGTCTCTTATACCACAATCTCCGCCAGCTTCTTCACCACATCGTCATAGTATCGCACCGACAACCGCTCCGCCACCTCATCAGCCGTCTCGTCTTCGTCAACCTCCAAACCCAGCTCGTGCTCGCCCGTCAAGCATCTCCTCGCCGCCTCTTCAAACCTCTCTCCCATCTCGGCGCCGACATCAGCCACACTCTCTGCAGCAAGCAGCTGGCTCCGCACATGCCGAACCACGTCTGACTGGCCCTTTGCCAGCCTCATCTCGATTCCAAGCACCGCCTCCACCGGCTTCCAGTGCGCCAGCTCCACCAAGATGACGCCGAGGCTGTATATGTCAAAGCTCTTCTTCGACCGCTGGCGGCCCTTGCCTTGGTTTGACTGCGCCAGCGGGTGTCGGTATAGGTCGTGCTCTGCGTCGTAGCCGGGGATCTCCGTCACCTCGTCGGATCCGCCAGGGCGAGAGAAGTCGAAGCCCGAGAGGTAGACTTGAGAATAATCTACATGGCCCGACTTTGCTCTGAAGAACAGGATGTTGTGACTGCGAAGACCCTTGTGCAGCCAGTTGACCGCATGCAGATAGAGTAAACAGTTGCCAAGAGCATGCGCAAGCTTGATCCGGTCTGTGACCCTGGGTTTGCGGGTTGCCTTGTCCAGGAGCAGCTCCCTCAAAGACACCGGTGGGAGGCTGTCGTCCAAGTCGTCACTCTCCGGGCGCTCGAATATCAAACCCAGCCGCCGGTCGAGAATGTCGACATCATCCTCCGGAACATCTGGGTCTGCCTTGTCGAAGAAGCCGATGCAATGAGGCGTCTGAAAGGCCTCTGGTTTGGGACTGTGGTTGAGCAAGCAGGCCAGCTTCCGCACTCTGTCGACAATGTCCGCTTTGGACAGGCAACCAGGGGTTCCCGCGGTATCGTAGTCCTTCCACTCGATCCACACCTTCTTCTTCCCCTGGGCAGTCTTCATGATGGCCTCGCACCGCGAGTCATCCAAATCATCCACGTTGGGGTCCAGCTCTATGAGATACTTGGGCATCTGGACAAGACGCGGGTCTCCCGGCTTGGCAAGCCCCAGAAAGGCCGCCACGGCTTCGTCAATCACCGCGGGAGCATCCGACTTGGGGTCAATGGTCTCATTGAACGCCTTGAATCTGGCCAGCTTGGAAAGTTGCCTCAGCTCGGCCATGCTTGCTTCCCTCTCAGCGTTGGACATTCGTGTGTGTGCCGATGCGCCAACATCTCTAGCTTCCAGCTGAGCCTTGAGAGCCAACACAAGGTGGCTAAGGTCGGCAATTTTGTGATGAAGAAGCAGTACGCCCCGGTTGGTGTCCTGCACCGTGTGTCGAATCTCAACCTGCAGCGAGTGGTCCAGGATGTTCATCATGCTGTCGTTTAAGAGGGTAAACTTGAAGAGCAGGTGCTCGAACCCCTCTTTGTCAAACGACACCCACTTGAGCCTCTTCAAGCCCTCTTGTGACTTTTCCTTGAGGCTCATCATGGCCTTTTTAATAAACAGCCTCTTCTTCTCCGATATGGGAAAGCTGGCCTGCTTGGCATCCTGCTCAGGGGAGATGAGGAAATCGCCATCGTCGCGAACGGTAGTCAGGTTGTTGTGCTTGTTCTGGACTTCAAGAAACTCGTCAAACAGGCATTGGACTTGCACCAGGAGATCCAACACGGTCTGGCGATGGAGATTGAAAACGTTTGAATCTAGGATACGGTCTTGGTTTTCCGTGTTCACATCCAGCAGTCCCGATGTCTCGCTCCAGGCGAAGAGACGCTGCTGCTCCAGGCGGAGGCGCAGGTTGAGGTATTTACAATCATCTTCATAGCCGAGAGCCGTAACAAGCAGTTGTATGCCTTTTCGTAGGGAAGATCCAGCAGAAGGTTAACACAGTTTTGTACACAAGCTTTAATCACATGGATGAATCTAGGCCAAGAACATGCCTTGTACACAGCCAGTATACACCTGGAGGCCTAAGGAGGCAACGCCAAGTGCCAGGCCAGCCAGGGAGACGGGGTCCATGTATGCAGACTTTTTGGTCAGATCTCCAGGCCGGAATCTCCCTGGTCAGTGTGCCGAGGGATTTGACGGTTCAAGTTGTTGGGCGAGGGTTGGAGGCTGATACAAGCACAAACAGGCCATGTACGAGCCCCGTGCGTACTGTACAGTATGGCGCACCAAGATTCGTGTCACTATTGACATGTGTGTAACGAGGGCTGGACGGGACTAGCGAATTGCCTACGAGATGGAGTGGGGATGGAGCGGAAGAGGACCGAGGCATGGCGAATCGTGGACCGAACCGACGGCGGCAGAGGGAGAGACAAGGGACAGGGGGAGCGGACTGTTTGTTGGTGTTGGTCAGTGGTGAAGATGGTTCAATGTCGGGTTGTTTTGTGTTATGAGAGGTACAGCCACATTTACAATTGGATGTATGCAACTCCAAGTTTGCCACCAACAAAAGCCAGCTAGTTTACTTGATCCAGCGTGTATATACGCAGAACAGTTACGGCGCCTATCCTACGAAAAAGAGGCCCGATCCAAGGCTGAGTAAATTCCCAAAGACGGACCCAGCCATCTTTGCTGGTGTTTCTCTTCGCCCCTTTGCCTGCCCCTAACATAAGGCTTAGATCGTCTCCATCCACAAATAGTGCAAGTTCGTAGTTCCTGTTGGGCGCTCGCGTCTCGGCGTCTCTTGGGTTACACCAGAAGGACGACAGCAGGATCATGAAACGGCACTGTGAGAAGAGCGACGCGCGCGTCGGAACGACGGGGCGCCGCGATTGGCCCGCGAAAAGGCGGCTTCTCTGGATCTCATTTTACAGGTTGCATTATAGCCCTGAGAACAATGTCGCTGGTTTCCCGTAATTGAGCGTTTGTGCTCCCTTGCAGTTGGTCTGTCTGTTGGTTGTGGGTGGGTTCAACCAGCTTCCGCTGCGGATAGCGTCAGAAGTTTAGTGGTACAGTTGCGGAGAAGATGGGCACTTGTAAAGATCTCGGGATTGTGCCCAGAAGCCCGTAGATTGCCAAGTACATGCAAGTAGCTTCATCGTTCGGTGCCTTGTTAAATTCCGATATTACCGGCAAGTGGCAGGATGCTTTGCTACTAGTATCCCTGGATTTGTATCCATCTCGAGCTCTCCATGATAGAGGTTCCCGTTCACGCATGTTGATCCCGATCCGGTAGGTACATGGTTACTGTACCTGCAGAACTCCGGTGTGGTGTGCTCGTTATCCGGACGGCTGGCAGCAAAAAGGAAAGAAAGAAGAAAAGGAGTACAGTAGGCTGTTTCAACGTGCGATCCCCTGCTGCACTCGCACACAACTTTCTGCCGTCTCATCTCCACGTTAGTAGATTGCAAATCCGAAATGCAATCCCATTCTTGTACCGTACCGTCTCCGTCTCCGTCTCTCGCACATGGCTGCAAGTGGCGCTCTGCTAGCAATCTGACGGGCTTTCAGCGCTCTTACAGGCGGCTTGGCCTGCGGAGGGGGCTCCGCGATGGCGTCCAACCACTGTGCCAGGTGCCCTAGGACCGCTAAGGCAACAGGGCGCATGGCGCTAGATCGCGGCCAAGAGCCCAACTTTCTGCACTCTGCGATTAGCCCGGCCGTGTCTCACATCTACCGGGCCGCGGTGCTGGGGCTGCTGCATGTCTGGAACAGCCCTTTTCGAGTCTGAAGACGTACGAGTATGTGCTGTTGTGCTGTGCTGTGCTGTGCTGTGCTGTGCTGTGCTGTGCTGTGCCATGTTTATGCTACATACCTACGTGTACTATAGTAGGTACTAATGCTATTATGCTGGGCTGTCATATTGTATCATTTCCATCAAAGGCATTTCGGAGCACTGCCTCCCGTTGGCACCTTTGAAACCGGGAGAGGCAGCATGTACACGCAAGTACTCGATCTTGGTAATTGCATCGGATGGCTCACCGATCCAACACCGTTTGCGCCGGTCGAGATTAGCAGCGCCCCCGGGCAGGTACTCGACGGTACCACCAGAACGCATCGCCCAACTCTGTTTTAATGTCTCAGGTACATCTTGCGCAATCGCCCCTGGTACCCTCTACTTGCCTCTGCGTGCGTCTTGTTTGGATCCAGCAATGAATATGGGTGCTTTGTGCAGGCAAATGTCCATCGATTCCAACCAGAGAGTGAGTGAGCGACGCAACAGCATTCAATGATTGATGATACAGCCATTGCCCGCGTCTCCCGGGCTTCCGGATGGCAGTTGGAAAACGGGCACTTATAGGCGCGAGCACTTACAGGTAGTACTAAGGCATTAATCGTATCGTGACCCCTGTGTCCAACGGCAATCTAGGCAACGCAGATACGAGTACATTGCCACTTGAAGTGTCCATCAAATACCTATTTGATCATCAATTCCGGCTCCCTGCTTCCCGTCCGCTGCTAGCCAGCACAGGCTCAAGTGAGGGACGAAAACACACGGCAAGACGCAAGTACCTGCTACCGCGGAGTCGCAGAGCCGGGAGTCCCTGCAACTACCGCAGCTCGTTTGCCCGCACCGTTGAACCATAAAATTTCCCCACCCCGGACGTGGCCAGCGAACCTCCTCCCCTGAGCTTCAGTCCTCAATCAAGAGTTCCCTCCTCCTCTACTGCTACCTACTGCATACTTTCTCCTTCTCGATTACCAGCAAGAACTTCTCACCCGTCCAGGCCCGTCTGACGAACTCGAACCACCAGCGCCATGGCCAACAGTTCTGGTGTGCAGCAGACACCCGTCGGGACCCTGTCACCACCTGATTCCTCGTCATCTGCATCTCAGTCGCCGATTTCCCCCACGCATGGAGTCAGGATTCCTCTCGCAGTCGCCGACGTGCCCGATGCTGGCCTGGCGAACAGGAGCCCGGAGGACCCAGTCAAGGCATCCGATCTCAAGGACGACAGCGATGGCCGCTCGCGGGAATCAGCCGTTCCTGCGGCCTGCTTGGCTTGCGTAAGTTGAAACAAATGCTTTTCCTCGGGCTTTTTTTCCTTTTTCGTTTTTTTCTTTCCTTTTCGTCATTCGCCGACCTCGCTTGGAGAGTTTTGGTTTTATACCTACCCCCAGCGACAATATGCAGAAACCCCAATTTTTCTCGATGCATTGACTCGGGACGAAGTATTGGAATGAGAGGAGAAGGAGAAGGAGAAGGAGAAGGAGAAAAAAAGAAAAAAAGAAGACAAGGAGAGGAGAGGAGAGGAGGACGAGAAAGGGAGAAGGAAGAGGCAAAGTATGAGATTCGCATGTTGGCGGCAGTAGTTTTCCATCCATGAGCCCACCATGTTCATGTTCACCATTGCCAAGAAACCCCATCACTCAAATTACGCATTGACACGATGGATCACGTCTCGCTAACCACTCGTTTGCGTCCGATCGTATAGCGGAGCAAGCATCTCAAGTGCGATGGGCAGACGCCGTGCTCGCGATGCGTCGGCTCCAACTTCGAGTGCATCTACGTAGCATCTCGACGCGGCTACAAGGGACCCCGTCGAGGACCAGCTCACAACCCAAACAAACGCCACGCCACATCTCCTCCCGACACGGATTCCATCAGCATCGCCCCGGCCGACTGCCCCATGCTGCTCGGCGCCGGCGTCTCCAGCGCCATGCCGGTGCCGCTCCCCTCGACCCCGATGGCCATGCAGAGCTTCAGCCCCAACGGCCTGCTGGCCGATGCTTCGCCGGCGACGCCTTTCCAAACCACCCCTGCCGTCACGCAGGCACAGCTGTACCGGTCGTATTGCAGCATCAACGGCATTGAGCCCGCCAACATGGTGACGGGTACCCACCTCCCTTTCCCCGCTCACTTTCCCATGCAGACCCTCCAGGAGAGGTGCATCGACTCCTTCTACCGTTACTTTCATGGTTCACACCCCTTTGTGCTCCCCAAGGAGCACCTGCTTCGCTATGCCAATGGAAACTCCATCGACCCACTCATGGCCGTGATCCGATGGGTTGGATCGCTCTTCATCGATGTCGGCAAATCGCGGCTGAGTCTGTACGATGACGCCATGCGTCTTCTCGACGACCTGACCCAGCCTCAGGACGGCTTCAAGGTTCAGGCCATGATGCTGTCCATTGTGGCGCTAGATGGCTGCTGTCAAAACGAAAAGGCGGCCCAGCTGCTCGGCCGAACCGAGACGCTGGCTCTTTCGATTGGCCTCAACAAGGCACACTTTGCTACTCTAAACGGACGAAGCAACCCAGTGCTAGAGGAGAGCTGGCGGCGAACGTGGTGGGATCTGTTCATCATTGACGGCATGGTTGCCGGCGTCCACAGAATGACCAACTTTTTGCTTTACGATGTGCCCGCCGAAGTCAGCCTCCCCTGTGAGGAGCACCAGTATTTGTCTGGGGTAAGTTTCGATTGAACAGCTCTTGTTTACCTTATCCTCTCCCATTTTCACCCCAACAATGACTGTTCTTGCTTTAACACTCTCTTTGTAGCACATACCTCAACCTATGAGCTTGGAAGATTTGGAAGACCGAGAATTTTCCGGTGACGAGCGCCGCTTCTCCTCCTTTTCATATCGGATTCTCTGTGGCCGAAACCTGGGCAGGTTCATGAGAACTCCTCCCATTTACGGGCCGGATGACGAGAACCTGGAGCGGATCGAGAACCTCCTTACCAACTGGCGACTTCACTTGCCCGAGGACAAGAGGGACTCACTTACGGCTGACGGTAAGCTCGATGAGATGATGTTCCAGGCGCACATGATGATGTATGCCACGTCCATCCTTCTTCACCAGCCTCATTCACAGCTCGACTCCTCACCGTCCGAGAAAATCACCTCTTGCGCACCATACCAGCTGGTCCCGGCAGGAGACCTCTTCAACAAGCACACGAAGCACACGATAACATCCGCCAACGGAATCAGCAAGCTGATTACACACCGAGTGCCGTTGCTTTCCCACACCCATTTCTTCACCTGCGTCATAACCCTTTCTTCCATTGTGCATCTCAACAAGTGGGCACTCTTCTTCATCCAACACGACGATGATGACCTGAGGCAGCAGATCCGCCTTAACATTGGCGCCCTCAATGAGCTGTCTGCCGTGTGGGGCGCCGCAGAGAGAGCACGAGGACAAGTCAAGGGTGTAGCGCAAGAGATCTATCACATCAAGAAGGAGCAGCAAAAGAACCCGCAGTACTGGCTTGGATTCACCCAGGAAGACGTTATGAACAGCATCGCCGCCGACGAATCCATCATCAGCAACTTTGATAGCATGCCGCCGGCCCATCTGCTAGGATAAAGCAAGGCTTGACATGTGAGTCTTTCTCTTGTCAAAAAGAGGGAAGGATATTGTAGATATGACGTGTCTGTTGGAAAGTACCTAGGTATAGAGACTGGGGAAATGACATTTACATACTAGGGGATTGCCTGCAGAATAACTAACCAGGCGGGTCTACATTGGGGAGTTTGAAATAGGTACCTTGTTATCAGGAGCATTGAATAGGGCCAGAGCGTTGGTTGAGGCGCCGTTGCGAGACGACCTCTTTTTTTTTGGAGTATTTGGGTATCCCAGATTTGTTTGCATATTAATGAGTCATGAATCTTTTTTTCGAATTTTTACTCTGTAGTTTGGGAATTTCCCTTTGTCTTGATCGTCTTGTTGCGTCGATGCTAATTGTCGAAGAAGAGCGGGATGTGTTGATGCTTTTGAGTTGGGAGCACGCATAAGAAGCTGTCTCTTTTCATGGACCATAAGAGCAGTGACGTTGAATAGTGCCCCTCACTCAATATGGGTTCAGCAAAGAGCAAATGCTGTATCAATATTAGACTGAACCATGATTTTACCATCGATAATGAAAACATCACTCCAAATGATGGGTTATTGTGAGAAACTTTGCTTTCTACCTGTCGAATATTTGTGATGTGGATGGTTCTAGGGTAGATTTCCTGAGACGATGAGATCTGCAGCATGGCGGTATCGAGTGGGCGAGCGAGCTTGGCATGGACTTGGTTCACAACAAGCACAACATTGGCGCACTACAGTATCAGTATGAAGCACTTGCACAATCTATTCTCCGTCACATGTGGCAACAAACACCCGAGATCCGTGGATAGCCTCCTTTTTTTGTCCCCAAGTCGATCGATGTGTTGGCAGGCCCTTTTTAGACCGCCAATCGGACCCCTAAAAAAGGACGGGAGGGCTCCTTTACTGTACGGCAGCCAAGACGGCTGGCCGCCATTCTTACTCTCAAGGTGAACACTTTGACGCACCTAGGTACGAACAAGGGGAAAACAAGGGACATGCGCGGCTGAGAGGAGGCGAATTCACAAACTTCAGATTGACGAGAGATGGGCTAGCCTTTGCGGGATATGCCTAATGCAAAAAGGCAGAAACAAGCGAAAACGGGCTTCTTTGAGTGTTCCTCGTAAATACTTTATTATAGCAACAGTACGAGCAAGATGGACAAAGGCCTTGGGTGGATTCGCCGTGCCCATGTCAGAAAGAAGACCTGGAAAAGCCACCGGTAGGGGTCAAGTCCTCTAAGCGTGGCACCGTGTCATTGGATCGGCGCGCCAAACTGCAAAAGGGCCTGCGGTCAAAGACGAACGGGATGCGAGGCAGCAATTGAGCTCCAAGTTGCAAAAGGCGGCGGTATAAGTGCTGATTGATGAGTGTTGCCGGCGAGCGCTGTAATTGGCAGGCTGTGGAAGCAAAAGCATTGGATCTTTAGTAGTTGTCATGCTCCATCACGGCGTCTAAAAACAGAAGAACCTGTAGTAGGGAAAAGAAAACAAACTACAACCTTGATGAGCTAAAAATTGCACACCACAAGCTGACCGAAAAGTGGCGCCCCTTGTCCGGCCGCTGATGAGGCGGTGTTGTCACATGATTCGCCCAGCGCCTCTGTCCAATGACTGCCTCTCCATTGCATTACTTAAGCTCTTTCCAGCCTCTTTTAATCCTCTTAGCGGTATACATGGGTACCTCCCGTCGCCCCGCGCAACAGGGAAGCTGCGCAGGTCCAGGTCTAGCTGCTTCAGTTTCTGGTTCTGGTTCTGCCAGGCCTCGTAAGGATGGACCGCCTTGTCCTGTCTAGCCAAGGAGCTGCTGCATCTACTTTGTACTAAAAGCTGCAGCAATTGACATTTCTCTGCCCTCCCAACCTCTTTTTGGAAGAGCTGTTTTCTCTTCTCCCCTTGTTGTTGTTTTTTTGGCATCTTTGCGACTGGACCATGTTTATATGTTACACGCGATCCGAATGAATGAATGGGCGACAATTGAAGTGATACAGACACAGGCAAGCACAGCACAGCACAGCACAGTGCATCGCGCAAAACCCCCACATCCAAACGACGGGGACATACAAACAACCATCCATCCATCCCCATTGCCCTTGTCGCGGCCGGATCGCACAACCTCTGGCATTCCTGCGACACCCCACGACGGAAACACGCCTTGTTTGTTGGCCGAAATCCCACAGACGAGCAAGATTGACCGCGCGCAGAGCCAAGGGGGGCGTCGGCCCAAGACACTCAAACGCCGTCGCACATCCATCGCCCTCTGTCTGTCTGCTTGATCGCATCGCCAGCGCTTCCCGCCCGCCGTCGTCGCCGTCATGGCGCCGGCACCAGCACCAGACCAGCTCTCCTCGCCCGGGTCCGTCAGCTACGATTCCGGCACCATGGTGGTGGGGGATGGGACGTGGGACTTTACCAAGAACACGTTCCTCCTCCCCAACTTGCAGGGCACCGACTTTGACACCATGCGATACAATGGTTAGTTTTGACTGTCTGAGTCAACCGCGCTCGTCTTTTGTTTTTTTTGGTGTCTGACAGTCTTTGGCGCAGGAATGGGCAATCGCTTCTCTACGCTTCACCAGTACCATACCATCATCCTGGCCCACGGCATACTGGCCACCGTGGTTTTCCTCTTCCTGGTCCCCTTCTCTGTGATGCTGATTAGGTTCTACACGAGGGAGCCGATCCACACGATTCGATACCACGCCCGGCTCCAAGTCTTCTCCCTCTTGCTCCTGACGGCCGCCTTCATATTGCCCTTCTTCGCCGTAGGCCCCAAGAGGGCCCTCTCGAACCCCCACCATGGAATCGGCGTTGCCATCTTCGTCATGTTCGTCGTCCAGCTCGTCGGCGGTCGAATAATCCAGCACATTACCAAGATGCGATCCCTTCGCATCATGCTTCATCAGTGGCTAGGCAGAGCCATCGCCATCCTTGGAATCGTCCAGATACCCCTCGGCCTGACTCTGTACGGATCGCCCAAGGTTCTTTTCATCCTGTACGCCGTTTGGATGGGTTTCCTGTTGCTGGTCTACTTTGTTCTCAGCTACCAGGCTGAAGGCCGCCGAGATCATTACATTCCGGGAGGTCGCTCCGAAGCAGGGACTCGCATTACCGAATCCGAATACTACTCTGAACATAGAGAGGAACACCATTCGAAGCTGAAATGGCTGGGGCCTCTGGCTGCCGCTGCAGGAGTCTTTGCCTTGGCCAGAGGACGCAAAAGCCACGATGACGATCGCAGCCGAGTTCGCAGCAGGTCCCCATCCATGTCGAGAAGTCGCGGCCCAACGGTAATCTCATCACGACCGAGCTATGTTTCGGAAAAATACTCGGATCTTCCAGAGCGAAGCGGCGGCGGAGGTGGTATGCTCAAGGCATTAGGGGGCGCGGCGGCGGTTTTCGGTGCTGGAAAGCTCTTTTCCAACTTCATGAGCCGTCGCGACCAACGGGACGAGGAATACTCGGCCGTGTCTACCGAAACCCCGCGCCGCAACAGATCTGGACGCGCCATGACCGTCAGCGAGTACGCCAGCGAGTACACCGATGATGCGTCCACCATTCCGCCGTCGCGCGCCCCTGCCCCTACTCAGACCGCTTCCGCCTTTGGAGCTCGTGACTCGGGTCGGCGTTCGTCGCTGCCTCCTTCTCGCTCGGATATCCGCGGAAATGCACGAGGATATGATGATTCCGACTATTCATCCTATGTTTCTCCTTCGCGACGACAGCAAGATGGACCTTCTGGTGGTGGTGGTGGGTTCGCCAAGGGCGTGCTCGCCACCTTGGGAGTCGGGTGGTTTGCCAAAAAGTTTGCCGACAGGCGTGCCAGGAAAGAAGAGGATGACCGGCTCAGGGAAGAAGAGGAGATGAGGTCCGGCACCCAGCTCTCGAGGTACAGCCAGACCAACACCGAATACACATCTCCGATCCGCAGGGACTCTCGCCGTCCGCCCCAGAGGCGCAGCACCGTTACGGGAACCGAGTTGTCATCAGACATGACGGAATCTACGTTTGACACCCAGACCGAGCTCTCACGCCCACCCCAAAAGGCGCCGTTGAGCGCTGCTGTCAGAGTGCCGCCTAGCACATCTGCGTTGCTCCCTGGCGAGTCGCCTCCACCCAGGCGTGGTGAGCGTTTGTCCATGCCTGCCATGCCCAGCGACCCTCATGGCGTTCTCCACCGTTCCGAGGTATCTGATGTGACATCTCTGGCCGACCGGCCCACGGGACGCAATCAGTCTCGACGACAAATGGACAGCGAAAGGGCTGCGGCAGAGGCGGCCGCCCGGGCTAGTAACCTGGCGGCGAAAGAGCGAGGACGGTTTGGCAGCAGCTCGGGGAGCCAGCCTTCAGGCGCCAGGTCCAGGGTTCAAGACAAAGACCGAAACGTCACCTTGCGAAAACTCACCGAAGAGGAATCCCTGGCGCGGAGGAGCCGAATGAATTCACAATCTAGCCTTTCCGAGTCTCCCACCAAGGGTCGCCGATACCGCAGGGACGATAGCCAGAGGAGGGCAGAGTCGGCAGCTGAGAGCAGGGTCGAAAGCAGAATTCAGGACGATGCCAGCCGAGTAGGACCACTCCCTCCGCCAAACCCATCACATGCCAAGGACAGACGCGGCAGAGACTCGGCTTATTACTCTGGCCAGCCTGCCCAGCCCGCTCAAGCCGGACCCTCTGGTCACCTAGCACCACCGCACATGCAGCTGCCCAATGCCAGCGTCTCTAGTATTGGCAGCCATGGCACATGGAGCGGCATGGGACCTCCAACAGAAGTCCCAAGCGGACCGGCGGCTATACCCCCGGTTGTGCCACCAGTCGTGCCGTCAACGGCACCACCAACGGAGATTAAGGAGGACAAGGGCAACGAGTCGGCCGCAGACAACAGAAGAAGACGACGAGCGGAGCGACGAAGAGCGAGCAGTAGCCATCCTCCTCCATCCGGAACGGACACGTATACGACGGACACGTATGATGATACCGAGAGGGGATTTTGATTTGCTCTCCAACCACCCGCCCAGTCCGAGCGGCACGGCTGGCAAACGACGTGCTCGACTTCCGCTAGCTTCATGAACATAGCCATTGGTGGCCTGTGTACATACAGATCTAGGCTGGAGATGATTGTGATTTAGTTTTTTTTTTTTTACTTTCCTTTCTCTTGGTGGGATGCTGCATATGCGCTGAGTCGTAGGATACCTTTCCTTATCTATTAGAGGCGTTTGGGATGGCATTCTCAAGAACTCTGCATTTGCTGCACGCATTTGATTGATAATGTTTTTTTTTCCCCTTTCTCTTTTGTCATTTTTTCATTTCTCTTCTCAAAGATGATGACGGAACGGGATGCCTGAGATGAATGGGAATTGCTCCAAGGATGATGGGATGACTGGCTGGGTTTTAGAGATGGGATGGGCCGTTCATTGCGTATATGACTGTACATTTTAGTGAGAAAAAATTGAACAGATGGGGGGGGGCGGGTTTGATGGGATCGGAGGCTCATGTTGATATTATTATTATTGATAGTATGGCAATTACGAATGAAACGTGGTTTTATTTTCAACACTTTGAATTCAGTCTTGTCAATTGACGTCCATGTGAATCGTGAAGTCAGTTGAATTGAGTTGAGTTGAAGTCGATTGGATGTCAATGCCAATTGATGGATTGACGCCATAGCGCATCTGCCGGCAAATGCTTAGGCGCAAATGCAGGACCCGCGACGTCATCAGGATGAATCGATGCCAATTGGAGGCCATTGGCAGCCCAAATTCGCGGCTCTGGAATTGCCGGATCCCCTGGAAGCTTAAAATGTCTCAAGTTGCAAAGAATCAAACAAGCCAAAAATGAGCTTCCATCAAATTCACGCACTTTGCGCTTCCCATCGTTCGGCTTCGGCACAGCTCCACTACAGCTGTTTGGCCAACCAGCTTTGCTAGCTAATGTGGTTCTGCTGGAGAACACCGTAGCCCGACGCTCGACTTTTCCTTCTTCTTTCTTTGCGTTTGTTTTCCTTGTCCAATCTCTCCCCCTTTTCCTCTTTTTAATTTTATTTTATTCTCATCTTCTTCTCTAGTGCTTCTTCAATCTCCCTCATATTCATTTTTCACTGCCTGGATCCCGAGAGGCGGCCAATGGCCTGCGTCGTGACTGCGACCCGCGGATAGAAGCAATGCCTCCAAAGAGCAGCTCCAAGCCGGCCGACGGCCTCGACTACAAGGCCATCTCAAAGCAGTTTGCAAAGGCCAGGGCGGCCAGGGAGGCTCGGGAGGCTCGGGATGCCGAGGCCAAAGAAAAGGGCCTGCCGACAGAACAGGAACAGACGGAGATCCTAGAGCGGCAGCGCGAGCTGCTCAACACCAAGCGGCAAAGGGCCTACGAGCGGCGGTGGTGGTGGACGGCGGCCTTTTGGACGTGGCTGCTGGCCGTCCACGGCGTGGGCATCTGGCTGTTTGCGAGCGGCTTCCTTCTGACGAGGCTGGTGCTCGACGACAAGTCCAGCTGTGCCGCGCCGCCGGTCGAGGGTTTGGCGGCCAGCCAGGCGGCGCTGGACGTGGACAAGGGATGCTGGCACCCGAGGCAGTTTGACCGGGCCGTGGTGATTCTGATTGACGCCCTGCGCTACGACTTTACCGTCCCAGAGGATCCGGCGACGGCGCATGCCTTTCACAACTCGTTCCCCTTCCTGTACGACTCGGCTGTCAGGGAGCCCCAGAATGCGTTCCTGCGGCCCTTTATCGCCGACCCGCCGACGACGACGCTGCAGCGGCTCAAGGGCTTGACGACAGGGACGCTGCCGACGTTTATCGACGCGGGGAGCAACTTTGCCGGGACGGCCATTGACGAGGACAACCTGCTGATGCAGCTGCGGGAGTCGGGCAAGAAGATTGCGCATCTCGGGGACGATACCTGGTGGTCCCTGTTCCCGGAGTACTTTGAGTCCAACATCAGCAAGGCGTACGACAGCTTCAACGTGTGGGACCTGCACACCGTCGACAATGGCGTCATTGACAACATCTTTCCGCTGCTGGAATCGTCCCAAGACGGCCAGTGGGATCTTCTCATTGGTCACTGCTTGGGCGTGGACCATGCGGGACATCGTTATGGGCCTGACCACTCTGCCATGGCGGCCAAGCTGCAGCAGATGAACGAGTTTGTCACCAAAGTCGCGGGATCGATTGACGATGATACGCTCCTGGTTGTCATGGGCGACCATGGTATGGACGCAAAGGGCGATCATGGAGGGGAGAGCGACGACGAGGTCGAGGCGGCTCTGTGGATGTACTCGAAGCGGCCCATCTTTGGGAGAACCTCACCTGAGTTTGCTGTTCCGCCGGCTACTGCCAAAATTCGCCCTGTCAACCAGATTGATCTGGTGCCGACTCTTGCGCTGCTTCTGGGTATTCCTATCCCTTACAATAACCTCGGAAAGCCCATTGAGGAGGCTTTCGCGGGACAAAAGGGCAACGACTGGGCCAACCTGGCGGCTGTTTCGCGGCTTGCGTCTGCTGGAATCGAGAGGTACAGGCAGTCGTATTTCAAGGCCCGTGGCATTTCGCAGACGGTGGAACCGGGCTCTCCCGCTGCTTTGTGGACGGCGGCCAATGCTGCTGGGCTGGGCTACAGGGACGCTTACAGTGCTTTTACAGAGTTTGAGAACGAGACTCTTCAGGTCTACAAGGGATTGTGGGCTCGGTTTGACGTCCCCAGGATGGTGGCCGGTGTGTTTGTTACTGCCGTTGGTCTTGTGATGCTGGTCATGTATTCGTCAAGGCCTGCAGATGATGAGTTTGTCGTGGCTAATGATGCTGAGCTCGACTACGCTGAGAGGCGGCTGGAGCTTATGAACTTGAATCACGAAGACCAGGAGGTGCACCCGGACCAGCATTTCCACCGGAGCCTCTTGGGCGGGCTGGCCGACGCCCGAGTGCTCTTTGTCGTGGGAGTCTTGATTGCCGTGGGATTGTATCGCAAGCAACCCATGGATGGCCTCGCGGCTTTGGTAGTCACGCTCTTGGTTACCGGCGTCATTTCTGCCCTGTCTACCTCTGGCAGGACGATTCTCAACATTCTTCCGCGCACGTTCTGGGGTTGGTTGTCTGTGGTGCTTACTCTAAGCCACTCTATCGGGTTCGCGTCCAACTCGTACACAATCTGGGAAGACTCCATCCTGCTCTTCTTCATTGCGACCTTTGGCGTGGCTGCTCTGATATCCTCGTTCCGCATCGAATCGAAAGTGGACCGCACAATGGCCATCTACCACACAGTCACGTTCATCATCATTGGGCGATTGGCGTCGTACTCGAAGCTTTGCCGCGAGGAGCAGATGCCCTACTGTACTTCGACCTACTACGCGTCCGTCACGTCTTCTACCTCGGCGCCCTGGCAGCTGGCTATTCCCTTTGCCGTCTTCCTCATCCTTCCTGATGTCATTAGGGCCTTCTTGATGCCTTCAAAGTCATACGAGGGCCTGGCTCCTACGTGGATCGGATACGGTTTCCGCGGCGGCCTCTTCCTCTCCGCCTTGTACTGGACCATTGATGCCGCCAACAACGGTGGGTGGCTCTCCGAGAGGCTCTCCGAGAGCACGCTCAAGTCGGCTGGTGTCTACTTGGCCCAGGTGATCCTCGCGCTCTCCCTCATCGCTGGATCGACGTCGTTTGCCTGGGCGCCGCCAAACATCTCCATCCTGTCGACGTCTGCCAAGACGGGGCAGCTGGTGACCATTCTCGGCTACGGCAACGCCATGGGCGCTCGCTACCTCTTCCTGCCGCTCAACTTCCTCGCCGCATGCATCCTCGTCACCAAACCCATGGGATCGGGTGCCTTGGCCCTCATGATGTGGCAGATCCTCTGCCTGGCCGAAATCATCGACCTCAACCAGCTCAAGGGCGAGTCCATCGGGCCCGTGATGCTCGCCATCCTGGGCAACTTTTACTTCTTCAAGACGGGCCACCAGGCCGTCCTCTCCAGCATCCAGTGGGACAGCGCCTTCATCCCGCTCTTCTCCATCCGCTACCCGTGGTCGCCGCTCGTCGTCGCGCTCAACACTTTTGCGGGCCAGATCCTCGCCGCCGTGTCCGTGCCGCTCATCGTCCTGTGGAAGGTCGGGCCCAAGCAGCGCGGAATCCTCGAGACGACGGCCCGCGCTTTGGGTGTCTTTATCGCGTATTTCGCGGTTGAGGCGTTGACGACGATGAGCTTCGCGGGGTGGCTGAGACGGCATCTGATGCTGTATCGGGTGTTTAGTCCGAGGTTTATGCTTGCTGCTTTGTTGTTGATTGCGATGGATTTGGTGGGGCTCTTGGTTGCGTTGACGGGGGTGAGGAGTAATACTTTGGCGGTGTGTGAGGTGTTTGGATGGGCGGAGTGAACGGGTTGATAGATTTTTCTCGAAAAGTTGAGTATGAAACTTTTAATATTACTATATGATTATGGCATGGGGGGATGGGTAATGGAGGGGGGAGGGGGGAGAGAAGGGTTCTCTGGTGGGAGGCGGATGGGCTTTGGCAATATACGGAGTATAAAATGGGCATATTGATTGCTTTGGTAAATGAATATACAAATAAATGAATAAATAAATCCGATGATAGGATGATACTATAAGGGATGGTGCGGAGATTGGCCTTGTTCTGACCAGGTACGTGATGTAGGGTGGCTGTTTGCTGTGTGGGCTGCGATCAACTGCTCGAGGGAGGTTAAGAATGCTGTGAAGGACCCCTTCTTGGTGACGGTGCTGGGGTACGTGTAGTCGTTGTTTGAGACTGGGGAGCTGATACCTATACGAAGTGGCTTTCAGCCGTCCAGCTCTCGAGTGAGATTAAAAATGCTGTGAAGACAGCAAGGCTGCCAGGCCGTTTTCAACTGATGGGGAGATATCAATATGGGCTTCAGCTTTCGGGCACTCAGGCCAAGTTGAAATGCTGCGGGGTACTATCTCGTGATGCGGCACACCGAGGTCGGCACAACACTCGGGTGAGGTTAAAAACGCTGTGAAAAATGCGCG